CTATGTCTTGTGTTAATATCCCCGCTGTGCTCAACTATTGACTAGAATAGCTCATGGGAAGTCTGGTCTTGGCACAAATATGGTGATAGGGTTCAAAACATAGCAGCTAGGGACTTTGGTCCGTTAAATTTCCTATCATTGGAGATCTTTGAGGCACATTCTCCTGGTTACCATATGTACTTTACCATTAAAAAAGAATGAGAAAAAGATTAAAATGGGCTGATTAAAGTGGAGAAGTATTTGGGTTCAAGGCAAGGTTTCATTTTTTTTTCCACAAGGAAAAGATTTAAATGTATTTGTAAGCCAAGAGGAAGAATGCTCCCAGTGGGAAAAATAAAAGATATGAAAGAACCAGGGTGGGAGAAAGGGAGGGAAGGAGAGATAAGAGAGAATGGGAAAGAAAATTATATATATAAAAAAAAACCCTAGAGAAAGTAGGTGGAAGTGGAATCAAAGGCTGTGGCTTAGAATTTAAAGTGTAACATCTTATTCTTTGGAAGACTGTCTAGACGTAGGTGAAGGCTAAAGGTTGTAGGGAGTAAAGGGGGATCTTACTTAGTTATTTCAATTTCTAACAAAAAATATGAGGCAAAAATCTAAGGGGCAGTGGTGGAGGGTTTGGTCTTGAACAGAAGCTACCCCAACTCTAAGCCAGAAGTGAAAAAAAGTGAGGATATGTGCAAAGAAAGCCTCTTCGGCAGATGTGAATTGAAGTTCAAGGAGACAGAAGTGGATACCCTCAACATTTTTATGAAGTAGGAGGCAAGGTTATCTGTCAGAGATTTTTTGTTTATAGCTCTTCTCACATGACAAAATTCCACACATAAAATATAACAGAAATCATATTTAGCATATAAAATTAATATTTAAAATATATTTTGTATTAGGATAATTATGACAAATCTTTCATAGGTGTTTATGTCCATTTCTTGATTGATGACTCAAATCTCTGAAAAATATTTTCTTGATCTAATTTGAAATTTTAAAAACTGGCATTGCATTAAATTTACAGTAATCTCAGAAAAAATACTGAAAATATACTGACAACTGTATTATGTATATTTTCTACTATATTTAACAAATAAGAACCACTTTTGACTGAGTAACTTTATGTAGTATTAAAAGAAATTCATTATAAGGGTACACAACTGGGTAACTCTATAAAAAAGTAAACATCAAAGCATTTCATGATTGGAGGGAATCTTTGAGATGAGTACTTTCTAATTTGGGAGTCTTAGAGCTCCATATCCCAAAAACTGAGCAGTGGAAGTTGATAACATTTTCAAATTTCAAAGCACTCAATAGAATTCTCACTTTGGCCCTATGAAGGCTTTGGGTTCCTTTTCAATTTTTGAATTTTTTTTTAATTCAGTGGGATCACTCTTCCAAAACTCCAATGGGCCTTTGTAATAGGAAAACATGCATAATACATTACTCATTATTTAATGATTAACAAGTTTTAAAAATAGATGAAAGCTTCTGAAACATGGGTCAGGAGTATGGGGAGAATTACAAAATCTTGAGATAATAGACACTGAAAAAGTTGAGAAAAATGGAGACTTTCGGAAAGATAGTGGAGTGGTAAACAGCAGACAAACAGCTTCTCCAAGATTTGGTGTCCAGACACTGGAATACAGCAATAGGAGGAATAAAAGAAGGAGGGAAGTGGGTCCCCATGATCCAGCAGGGATCTCAAGTGAGAATCAAAGCCCATAGGAGAGTAAAAAGAGAGACCTCAAAGCAGGAGATGGCAAGTGGTGCTTTTTCCCTGAGCCCTGACTCACTGTATGTGAGAGGAAGCTTGAACCTTCAAATGCATAGTGAATACTGGACCCCAGAGGCCTCCACAGAGACTCACATCAGTGGAATGTGACAGTGGATACAGCAGACTGCAGTGGCTGGTGAGTTACTCAGGTTCAGACATCCCACAAGAGAGGGTGATTGGCCAGTAGACATCTTAGAGAGAAGACAACTGAACTCAGAACTCAGAGCAGCTGCAGGTTAGCTCCATCTAGTGGCTCCCAGTGCCAGGATGAGGCAGAACTGAGTTTAAATTGGCAAGAGGTCAAGGAGCTCAATTCAGTCAGGCAGGAGGCACACAAAGTGTTGCAGGCTGAACAAATGGATTCCAACCTCACAGCCAGAAACCAGCCTGAACTTCAGTGGAACTAAAGGTGCAGGCTTGCTGAGATTATCCACTGTCCTGCCATAAGTCCTGGCTGGCTTGCTGGGATTAATCAACACAGGTATGGGCTCTGTCTGCTCACTCTGTCTACCAGTGACAGCAGAGACACACCCTGAAGTGAACATTTTTTTCTTCTTTTTTTTTTTCTTTTACTGTTTTTGTTTTTGTCTTTTTTCTTTATTGTACTTTTTACATGAGCATGAACATGGCTTTAAGTTTTGTTATTGTTCTGTTCTTATTTTTATTTGTACTTTCTCTCTTTCGCTCCTGTCTTCTTAACCAGTTTCCTAAAGTTTGCATAATCTTCCTTTCTTCTCCAGCCTTGCTTCTAATCTCTTCCTCTTCTATTTCTCTATTTCCCCCCAACCCTTTCTAACTTTTCTCCCCTAAGGGTAAAATCACCACATTGAGGTCATATTTACTGTATACAATTCTCTAGTTTGTTTTAGATTTTATTGTATAAGCACAAATATAGTTCATATGGTTAAAAGTGGCAAATTAATAGTTACCACAGATTGTCATTTTCTAGGCTGTGTTGGATGCTATTGTTATTGCTGATTGCACTACTTTAGGCAAGGTGACATAATTGTTCGAATCAGTTGCCAGTTGCTTTCTGATATGCCAAGACAGAGGTTATCTAAGGATCACAAACAATACTATAGGCCAATGTCAAAAACCATGGACTAGGCCAAATAAGCAGCAACTTCTCATCCTCCAAAAACTGAAGAGGTAGGATCTTGCAACAGACTCAAAATCCAAAGCCAGTCACACCTGGAAGATATCTCTGAGAAGTAGTCATTTTCTAAGGGTTCTAAATATTAGCAATAAAGCTACCTTCCATAAGCAATTTACAAGCATCAACCCAGGAATTAAACTAAGAAAAACTAAACAAACAGAAAATTAGAAGACATTTAAGCAAGATGCAACCCTAGACTTCCAGCTCACCAAAGACAAACCTAGGGGTCAATGAGATGAAACAATTAGAAAGCCACCCACCTGTACTCTCTGAAGTAGTATCAGTGGAAATAACAAAGCAGATTAATAAAGCTCTAGAAAAAAATCAAATCAGAAATAATTTCTCACATATATACAAAGATGGTGACCATAATGAAAGACATGGTTAGTGACTCCAGAGCAGATACAGATAAAAAAATTAGAGGAGCTTAGGAAAATGATAGAAACTATGAATGTCCAACATAGGAAAGAAATGAAATCCATGAAACAAATATTCAGGAGATTAAATATTCCACTGAAAGTATATTGAGCAAAATGAGTCAGTATGAGGACAGAATATCTGATATAGAAGACAGGACTGTGGTTAATGATCAGGAAAAGAAAAATTTCTTAAAAATAGCAAGGGACAGGCTGGGGATTTAGCTCTGTGGTTCTGCCACCTGCCTCACAAGCACAAGGTCCCAAGTTCGATCCCCAAAAAAAAAAAAAAAAAAAAAAAAAAAGCAAGGGATTAAAAAAATCAATCCTATAGCTGGTAGATGATGCAAAGAGGAATAAAATAAAATTGATCAGAGTTAAAGAAAAAGTAGAAGATCATTCAAACTACATAAAAAAATCCTCTTCAAAGAAGTAATGGCAGAAAACTTCCCAAGCATGGAAAAAGAATTTGATATATAGATAAGTGAAACATATAGAACTCTAATTATCCATGACTGAAAAACTACGTCAAGCCATATAATAGTCAAGATTCTAGAAATTCAACACAAGAACAGAATATTAAAATCTGTTAGAGAAAAGAAACAAATAACTCATAAAGGAAAACTCATCAGAATCATAGCAGACTTCTCAACGCAAACCCTCAAGTGAAGGAGAGCTTGTAGTGAAGTATTTCAAGCACTAAAACAAACTCCAACCTAGATTGATGTACCCTGCATAACTATCTTTCAAAATTGAAAGAGAAATAAGATACTTTGATGACAAAAAACACCTGAAGAAATTCATAACTCCCAAACCAGCACTCCAAATATTCTGATGGACATTCTAGAAAGAGATAATGAGGACTAGAACTCCATGAATGCCAACAGAATGAATCTACCAGGTAAGGCAACTAATTAAACAGAGGGGAGAAAAAGAGAATCAACAACAGGAAATTAACACGACAAGGATAAATCAATAAATATCAGTTATAACCATCAATTTAAATGGTCTCAATTCACCAATCAAAAGAAACAGACTGGCAGGATGAATCAAGAGGCAAGATCTAACAATATGCTGCATACAAGAAACACATTTAGTTCAAAAAGAAATTCATAGATTGAAAGCCAAAGGATGAAAAACAATACTCCATGAGACAGGAACCTGGAAATAAGCAAGGGTACAAATTCCCTACAATGAATGTCATCATTATGTGTGTTTAAAATGTACCAATAAAAAATTTAGAAAGCTAAAAAAAGTTGAGAAAAATGTCTTAGTCTGATCCTGTAATTTACAGATGAGATAATAAATTGTGTATTTTATAGCACATCATGGTTCAACAGATAATCAAACCTTAGGATTTGCAATTTTCATATTTTAGAAGTTATGACAAAGATGACCAAATATGTTATTTTCTTGAGTGTTAGGGTTTTGCACTTTGTATCATTGTGTTTAGTGTTCTATGCATTTGAATGCAAATGTTTCATATTTTTGTGGAGTTGCTTTTGGTATGAGTATATACCAATAGGGAGCACTTCAGTCTAAACCCTAGAATTTACTAATTTATGCTCCTTTTTTCTGGCCAACTTTCTAGTAAAGTAGTTAAAAACATATTTTTAATAAACTTCTGGAGAGATAATTGAAAACTATGAACAAAAACAAAATCTTGGACTTTTAAAAGAAATTTTATAATAAATAGGTGTTATCAAAGACTAGTGAGTTCTTTCATTCTTCACAACTGCAGGACAGCCCTCATTCATACCTGCTCTAGTTACATTAGGACTTTAAAAAGAAACTTAAATGATTAGCACATGATTCTGAAAAAATAAAACTCACTTTAGTTTCTTCTACAGTTTAATCTTAAATGTGCACACTTGAATGTGTAATGTTCTTATCAAATAATTAAGATATATTCACAATTAACAAATAGGGACAAACTATACAAAAGTTCTGTTTTTACAACAATGTTTGAAAGCCCACTGGCAAAAGAGGAGACAGTTTTACCTTTTAAAATGAGAGATGATTTGAATAGACAACACAAGAAACTAACATAAGTGAATGAACAATAATTTTCCTTCTTGTGGAATGCTTTATGATTTCTTTTATGTATTTCTTCTTCTTGCTTACATATTTTTTAGACAGAATAGTCATTTCTTTTAGAATGACTTTCTTATCTTTCTTTCTTTTTGGGTAGGGCAGGTGGCCAGAAGAAATTGTCTTGATAGTCTAAAAAAATGCCTTTATAATTGTAGCAAAAGCAGAAATTTAATAATTTTTACACCTTATGCAGTCCTTTGAGATATTAAGAAGAAAGATTATTTTCTAAGTTCAAAATTTCAAATTTTTATAAAGATAATCAGAATTTCATAACCAATGGTCATAAGAATTTCTGTGCATTAATTTGTTTATGATATCCAATTACATATGCTACATAGAAGCTAGATTTCTTGAACAACAATGTACAGAATGAACAAGCTGAGTCCTAGTCATTGTCATAGATGCAACCTGAAAGAAAAAAAATACAAATTTAAATACAGTTATATGTAACACATGCCCTCTAAATGTTCCAAGTGTGGAGATCTGGCTAATCTCCTGATTTAAGATTTAAAAGGAAAGGTAAAATTGGCTCACTTTATGAAAAACAAATTAAATGAAAGGCCATGTATTTACTTCTCATTATTTAGTGTACAATTCCAACAAAATTTCTGGACAGATTTATTCTCCATCAAAACTGAGACCCAAGATTATTTTATTTTATCTGGCATCTATAAAAGTACTTTTTGGTGGTCATTCTGAATGAGGTTGAAAAATACTAAATATCAGTAGGTATTATATTCTTAAAAGACTAAAGAGCAACATCCTTATCACTATGTTCTACTTCAGTTGAGAGTAATTTTAAGTCAAACTTTAGAGAAGTATGACACTTATACAAGTATTATTAGTTATGAAATAAGTACCAATAATGGATATTTATTTGGTCAAAAGAAATTTTAAGGTTCATGGTATAATTAAAAATTCATCAAATATTTTTATATGTCTCTTTTCAAAGAAAATAAATAAGAAGTTTTTAAAAAAAATTTCCAACCCTGTGTGAAAATGATTTTTCCTCCATGATATCAGAGCATTTACCTTTTCTGACTTAAATTTTTGAACAGACTGTAAGGTTCTAGTTAACCCAAGAAGCTATTTTCATTATTTGTATAAACAATAAATTCAGTGTTACTGTTCTCTGTGATGGTAGTATATGATACTTACCATCAGCAATATCATCATAAATCTCTCCATCACTGTAAAGGCAGAAAATAATTTTCATTTTGTAGAAGAAAGTTTCCTAACATTAAAGCAACAGATAGAAGAAAAGGGCTATAGTATGAGTTTTATATAACACAGGTCTTTCATAGTGAGAAGTTACATTTTATGCATTTACAAGTGGAAAGAAATTTCTTATTCATACACTTCTTTCTTTCACTGGCTTTATTTAATCCTGTTCCATTAACAAACAGAATGACTGAACCAGATTATGTCCTCCTCTACTCATCTTCAGACCTCACCATGGGCACAGCACGCAACGGGGCTCAGAAATGAGTGCTGAAATAAACTGAATAGTCATGGCCAGGCCTCCCCTGGGCACCTTAATCCTAAACTGTAACAGACTTTTATATCTATTAATGTTAGATTCATACCTTCATTTGAATTTCAAATGTTGACTCAAACACAATAATATTTGATATAGGAAACAGTCCCACTATTTTCACATTTCTAATAATAAGTAGTACATATTAATTTTATAATATATAAATATTAGCTATAAGGTATAGTTATTATAAAGATTTTTATGTTATATAATTCTAAAATATTATTTATAATTAAGAGTAGCATCCACAGTAGTAGTTTTGGCTGCTTTTATACAATTTAGGTTTTGCCTGGTCCTGAATCTTTGTGAAATATTCTACACAGCAAACATGCTGGATCCCTCTTGTATATGAGGAGGCATAAATAAAAGTGAGATACAAGCATGGATTTTTAAGAAGCTTATAATCTAATGAGAAACAAAGTAGTCTATAAATAATAAAATAGAAGGTATTATAAATATGAATATTCTCATGAAATGTAGGATACAGTTCCAAAGTGCATAAATGTGAGGCAGCTTTGTCACTTAGGACAGACCCACTCTGGATTCCTGTCCTATCTCACTGTTTTATCATAGGAGCAGCAGCAGGACCTCCAAATGGCTGCCAACTATGGCAGATGTTGTGAGTTTCCTGTGGCTTCTGTTTGGATTCTTTCTCTGATACTGAGGCAGGGGTTTGGTTAATTGAAATCTGATGCAAATGTAGAAGACAGGTTTTCTCTGCCTGTCATTCATTTGATAAATGTTTATGAAGTACTGTGTATTCACTTTAATAGGTGGTAAACTAATAATTACTTACACAGTACATCCCCTATATTCTCTCTTAGTCATCATATGATGATCATTCTTTCTATAAAATTTTCATAAAACAAGTCCTATTGAAGAAGTCCTACTGCCTTATTAGGAAAGGGGAAGGATATCAGGGAGAGGGGAGAGGGCAAAGGAGGGTAGAGTGTGTTATCAAAGCAGAATATATACAACTATGGAAAAGTCACAGTGAAATCCATTAATTTGAACAATTAATATGTATTAATAATTATAATTAAAAGATGCAAAGGCAAAATATGTTCCCTGCCTATCACTGTGATTAATATTGAGTGAATAAAGATACTATAATGATTTTCTTTTAACTCCCTTTGCTGCCAGAGCTCTGGATGCTGATTTATCTCTTTCTGCTTCTTGGTATCAGGTTGTTTATGAAATAACAGTTTCTGAATCCTCCTTGATTTTTTCATTTTGCTAAATTCCATAAATGTTTTGCATTAGTATAAGACCCAAACTGATAATGGAGTTCATTTCTTGTACTGGGTTTCCTGAAACAGAATCTTAAAGCATTTTGGATGACTCTAATGGCACACCCGTACCAGACTGTGACAGACTGTGACAACGTCTTATTCATAAGAATAGAAGAATCATTGACTACTATCTTTTTTCTGGCATGCTTCCAACAAAGGCAACATAATGCTCCACTATGCCTCCTATGAATGTAGAAAAATTCTCAATAAGGGACTAAACATTAAACTGTTGACAGGTGATATTAGTACCTACTGCGTAGACACTACTTAGCCTTTAATTTATTCAATTCAACAACTATATTAATCAGCCAGTGAAATGCAGAGCATTAATGAAAGGGTCAGTGGCTTTGGCCTGTCTTCAGCGGAGAGCCCAATGAGTGTATGAAACTATGAACTGTGTAAAGAGAAGGGCTCCTTACCTACTTGAGCAGCACTTTATGAAAACCTTAACTTTATTATAGATACTACTGACCTGATATGAGTACAAATTATTGTTTTCAGTTTATTTATGATAGCCCAGTCGGTTATATTATTTAAATGATACTAGAAATATTTCTTAAAGAAAAGCACAGGGCCAGGATGTAGCTCAGTGGCGCTGTGCCTGCCTGGCAAATGCAAGGTCAATCCCTAGTAGGCACGAGGATGGGGGGTAAAGAAAAAGAAAAGCACAAGACTCTTTACACAAATACAGTTGTAGAAGAAAATGGGCTTACTTGTCCACAAGATGACTCCGAAGCACATAACCATCTATGAAAGAAAAAGAAAATAAAAGTTATTTATTGGTATAGCTTTGAAAAAAATCTTTGAAATTTTAAGAAATTAACTTAAATAATTATTTTAATATAATACACTGATGATTTTATCAATTTCCAAATATTACTCCTTTTTCTTATTTGTGTCCACTTTCTTTTCTTTCTTCTCCTTTTCTCCAGATTTTTTTTTGACATACCTCTTTTCCCCTCAATTTATAATATTTCCTTCTTTCCTCTTCTAAAAAAATCATTTTTTTCCCCCTTCAAGTTTCTACAAGTCAAAGCACTGGACTCCCTCAAGTTTTTCTCTATTTCTTCAAGCTCTTACCTACATGATCCAGTTTTATATTACAAAATCCATTTATATGTATTTTAAATATCACCAGATCTAAGATTTACTTTTTAAAATTACATTGAACAGAGCCAGAACTGTGTTTACTTTTCCCTTTCAGATGCCACTGAGCTAATAATGGCCTCTTGGGGGGAAGAATACCTCCTAAATGGCCACAAAATCACTCTCGTCTACTCAGTATGGCAGAGTTGCCTCTACTATGTCATTTGAAAGTAGAATATTTGTATTTTACCATTCATGGAACAAAAGTATTGTTAGAAGAATACATACTAGAGATTTAGTGATGCCCTGATTATGTAGAAAATAAACCATATTTTATGCAGAGAAAATTAAGGTTTCGTTTTTTTCTTTCCTTGTTCAAATTTTTTTTTCTAAGGAAAAGTATGGACTATTTTTCTTGGGAAAATGTTCACTGACGTTTAACTAATAATTACTAACCTTTGGAATTATTAGTTTTGTGTTAGTGCCTAAAATCTGTTGTTGTCTTGAGATTAGTAATACTCACTGCTTCTTAAATAAAGCTCTAAACAACTTTTATGAGTTAATCTATTGCTCTTGGTCTACTTTAGATTTACCTTTGATTCTCTATCAGAGTAAATGTGTTAAAAGATTATAAAGAGAAAAATTCATACAGTGATAAACTCATTGATATATATTGATGTCATATTTTGGTGATTTAATATAAAAACATTTTTTTAAAAATAAGGACCATAAGATTAAAATTGTAGATTTGAATTTAAGAAAATAAACTTAATACTAAAAAGAATGAACTTAGTACTCAAAATGTATTCCAAGGAACACCATGGCCAATAAATAAATTAAAAAATGCTCATCATTGCTGGCCATTAGAGAAATGCAAATTAAAATCACACTGAGATATTATCATACCTGAGAAATAATTGCTACCATAAAAAAAATCTAATAATAACAAATGCTGGAAAGGATGTAGGGAAAAAGAAACTCTACTACATTGTTGGTGAGATGGGAACTAGTAGAACCACTATGAAAATCATTGTGGAGATTCCTCAAAAAACTAGAAATAGAAATTCTATTTGACCAGCTATCTGCCTCCTAGGTATCTTCCTGAAAAAGTTAAAGTCATCATATTACAGAAATGCACACAGAAACATGTTTATAGCAGTATGATTTATAATAGCTAGATCTTGGAAACAGTGTATATGTCCATCAAAAGAATGGATAAGGAAAATATGCTATTTATATACAATGGAGTACTATGCTGTGAGGAAGAAAGATAAACTTGAGGCATTCAGAGATAAATGGATGCAACTTGAGAACACAATGTTAAGTGAAATAAGTCAGACATACAAGCTCAAATACTGCATAGTTTCTTATATGAGAAGCACATATAACTATATATATAAAAATATATATAATCTCATATGAGAGATATATATACATAAATACTATATACTTATTTGTGTACATAATATATACAAATAAAGAATACATATTATATGAGAAATATTATACTGTATAGTAAATACTATATACATACATAAATTATATATTATATATAAATAAGTACATATATACATAAAGAGCAAAATAGAAGAAAGATAAATAGGAAGTAGGGAGAAGTTCAAACACTTCCTCAAATTACACATTTTCTTATTTTAAAAATATTTCAGTAGTGTCTTAGTTACTTCTCTTGTTACTGAGACAAATTATCCAACACCCAACATTAAAGGAGAAAAGATGTATTTCAGCTCAGCTTTTAGATGTTTCAGTCCATAGTTGGCTAGTTCCAAGGCAAGGCAGCATTCCACAGGGGTATCACAGAAGAGAAACAGTCTATGGCAGGGTAGGTAGGAGGCAATGAAGCAACAAGCAGCAGCAGCAAGCCTCCCTGCATTTATCCCACTCAGGCTAGAAGCCTCTTTGGTGGTGCCATCTATACCCACGGTGGTGCTTCCTATCATCCACACCAATAACTATGACAAACCAGTTAGTAGACTAATCCAGTAGCACACATTCCTAATCCTAATATCACACCCATAATCTACATTCACACATCCTAGATCCAGCCACCTCCAAAAAGCCCCACCTATGGTAGCATAAGGCTTTAGGGGACATCTAGACAAAAGCCATAGCAAATATATATGCTAATTTGTTTTATTTATATTAATAGCTTATCTTAGTTCATTGTAAAGAAAGTTTGTGTTATTATTTGTTTATTTCTTTTTGAAAGAATCCTTTAAATTTATGTCTTGTACTGAGGAACTACTTCGAAGACAATGATACACAATATAAGAACTATTGTTATTTTCTTACTATTTGGTTATGAAATTTGTCTTATTTTTTCATAAAATAAAAAAGAAAATTTTATTTTCATATGCTTTTTTTTTGTATCAGGGATCAAACTCGGGATCTTGCGCTTGCAAGGCAGGCAGCAGAACCACTGAGCTAAATCCCCAGCCCTTCAAATGCTTTTAGGTAATTTACTTTTTAAAACTAAACTTTGCTAAAATTTTCCAGGTGGTTTGAATAAAACATTGTATATAAAAACACTAAAACAGTCCTTTATATGATCAAAGTTTGTAATTCATGATATATAGTTTTATTACTTCAGCTTCATGAATTAATTCTAAAGTACTTGTCCTCTTAGACCTCAAACCCTGACAACATTCCTTCCTATATCTTTCATCTTCAAGGTTCTGAGGAATAGCTTTCTATTCTGCTGATGATTCTGTTATTGTTAGTCTGTGTGTGCATGTATGTGTGTGTGTGTGTCTGTGTATGTGTGACACATAAGCATCAGTGACTGTGAATATTATTTAAGAAAAATGTATCCAGGAGATGGGTGTGGGATGGTAATGTGCTGCTATATTTCAGTTTCCCAATGATGTGATAATTTAGGGCTCACTAGCTATAAAATTGCTACTATAGCATTTTTATGGGATTAATGACTTTTAATATAGCATACATCTTGCTATCAAGTACCTTTAAGAATCTCTGGTAAAATTCATTTTGTTAAAAGCATGATTCATGACAATTTCAAGTAAGTGACTTGTCATGAATTTCTAATATAATCTCTCCATTATATTTCCTAGAAATATTTTTTTGCAGTAGGAAAATATTCTCTTTGCTCATGTGTTACATGTACATTCATCATAGCAAATGTAAATAGAACATATAAAAAACTTTATAGAAAGTCTGCTGCGTTCAGGTAGCTCTATAACATTTGATTACTGGTACACGAGGGATTCTCAAATAGCATATAGAATTATTATTTGGAAACCTCACATTCATAACATTGTGACTTGAAATCGATGTCTGGAAATATGTGTGGGAGGGTAGAGCTTGTTAGAAAACTACCCCCTCCATGTGCCAGCTAATTTCTTCTCAAAATATTTGTTTGCTATAGTACAGATATGTTTCAGGACTAATGAGTCACCTTTTAGAAGGATATTATGAATATAAAGTTACCAAGGAAATGGAAAATAATCCTGTGAAAATAGCAATTTTCTTTATTCTAATATTTTCAATTTTTTTACTTAATAAAAATGACAGTTATTTCCTCAATAATTCCTATGTTTTATATTCTGAAATAAATATATTCAAACCTACCCGATTCTTCCTCATGCAGTTTATAAACAATAAAATCATATTGTACAGATTTATCTAAGTAGATGAAACAATGTCCAGCTTCAAAGGAAATGGTAATAAAATAATTGAAAAAAAGAATGTGGTATATATAACACTGAATATGAATTATTAGCTTAGTCTTATAAAAATAGTTTCCCTTTCTTCTCTCTCTCTAGTTTCTGGAGCTGGATATCACAGTAATTTTTTAAATTTCTGAGTTAAAATTTTTCTTTCTTCAGTGAACGTGTGTTGTTTTAAAATTAAGAAAATATTTACTTTTAAGAAATGTTCAACTGGATTTGTGGAGATCTAAAGCACCTTGAAAGTCCCTTTTTGTTTGATGCCCAAAATAAATAGGGAACATTTTGGCCACAAATAACTTAGCTCCTGTTGCATTCCAGACTTTTTGTATATAAGTTTTCTCCAGCATCAGAAGGTGGGAAAACTCACAGCTTATGAGACATAGAGTTGGGAAATATGTGCAGATATTAGCTAGAAATTTAAAAATTTGGAAATGTGTCAGAAATATATTAAGATCCTAACACCTACACACTTCTTGCTTCCACAAGTGAGTGAGATTTGATCAAATGCAATAATGTCTATAAAAGTGGCTTGTGCTCCACTGTACAGTGGTAAAGGGATTACCATTCATGCTTTATTCCCTAGTTTCTAGCATTACCAACCTTAGGTTGCTTTTCTTTTTTTGGTGGATTTAAGAGGAATGAAGGGCAACAAAAACATTAGTCACCATGATGCTAGAATGCAGATGCCTTTGTTACTAATCAGAAGATGTGGAAATAAGGAACTGAAAGATTTAGAAGCTCCTCAATGTTATATAAACTAACCATACTACTAAGGCTAAGACAGAGAACTTTTGTCTGCTAACCAGCTGAACTATTTAATAGACTTATTTTGAGTGTCTAAATGTTCTGACTTACGTCTGGATATCCATATAGCATTTCCAAATTGTTACTTTTGAACTAGCAAGCCCCATTCAAGATGCAAGGTACTGAACACTGTGGGGCAACACAATGTTGAAAACATTACATTTAGCTTAGATTCTAGTAGGAATAATAAACTGGTAAAACCATAAGGACAATTACAGCAGCAAAAACTGGTAAAACCATAAGGACAATTACAGCAGCAAAAATAACATCATGGAAGAGTTGGGAAGAGATAGATAGTCATGGGGTATCTGAGAGAAAGGATTTCTAATTTTAGATGATAATTTAGTTGTTTTTAATAGACAATTGTGGGCATTCCTAGTCAAGGAAAACAGCACAACCAGATGAACTAGCACAATTTATTCAGGGAATGAGAAGAATGCAGTTTGTATTTATGGGGGACCAGTTGTAGACAGGAAATTACACTCAAGAAAAGTGAGTCTAGATCATAAAGGATTTTATATGTTAGCCTAACGACTTGTGTTTTTAAAAATATTTGGTTAACAGTGTGGTGAGTGGATTGGTCTTGAGAGTAAGGATACAGACAGACACACCATTAAAAGGCTATTGCAGTTTTCTAGGTGAGAGAGTTAAATCCGTAAAACAGTCATCCAAAATCCTCAAGAAATGTGTGAGGACTGGATTAGAAAGTAAGGAAATCAAGAATAATCAAGGTTCTGAGCATGGTGGCACACAGCCGTAATCTCACTACTTTGGAAGGTTGAAGCAGTAGGATCATAAGTTTGAGCTCAACCTGGGTAATTTAATGACTTAGTGAGATCCTGTCTTAAAATAAAAAGAAAAAGAAAGAAAGGGCTAGGAATATAGCTCAGTGTGAAGGCCCAGGTTCTTTATCAGATTGTGCGGTGAGTATGATCAAGGATGCAGACCAAGGAAGAAATAAACAGGAGGTTTGAAAACATTAAGGGAAGCAGGAAGTTTGAAAAAATCGAAGTGAAATTAAACCGATATGATAAGTAAACTTTGGGATAATGCTTAGTTTGCAAGGTAATAGCAGATATACATAGTATCCCTCCCTCACCACTTAAGTACCTATTGATCCAAATTTTAAATGACAGCACTAGGATTTAAAAGGGTTTTTTTGGTGTTGTTTTAATGGATGGCTTTTCTCTGGCTTTCACAACTCTCTGTTAGCTTGCAGAGCATCCCAAATAACTTCCCAATTGCCCAGAAATAGGGTTTAACCTATTGGTGGATAAGTAACCCAATTTTTTCCCCACTTGATAGGATAACATGATGCTGAGTTTCCTGGCAGTATTAGGCTCTAATTATCCAAGTGGTAACATTTTTGATAAAAAGGCTTTATGGACTGCTTTCCCTTCTTTGACTCATTTTTGCTTACTGCTATTTTCCAGAGTGGCTTTTGAAGTGAGGAAGTCAAGACAAAGTCCAGCCCAAAGACAAGGTCGGGGGTATCACAATCCCTGACTTGAAACTATACTACAAAGCTAGTGTGATAAAATCAACGTGGTACCAGCAAAGAAACAGAACCAAGAATCGGTGGAACAGATTAGAAGATGCAGAAACAACGCCAGACATACTTGGCCACCTCATCTTTGACAAAGGAGCCAAACACCCTCACTGGAGGAAAGATAGCCTCTTTAATAAATGGTGCTGGAAAAACTGGATTTCAACTTGCCAAAGATTAAAACTAGATGTATATCTCTCACCATACACTAAACTAAAATTGAAATGGATCAAAGATCTAAATATTAAAACAGAAACACTAAACCAGCTGGAAGAAAGGTTAGGTAGAACTCTTGAAGACGTTGGCATAGAAAAAGATTTCAAGAACAAAATCTGAGTCACATGTGAATTAGCACAAAGAATCAACAACTGGGATCTCATCTTATTAAAAAGCTTCTGTACAGCAACAGAAACCAACAATAGAGTGAAGAGACAACCCACAATGTGGGAAAAAATTCTACCAGTTGTTTTCAGACAAAGATCTACTATCTAGAATTTATTAAGAACTTAAAAAGATCAGACCTTCCAAATTTAAAGACCCAATCCAAAAATGGGCATCTGAGGGCTGGGGATTTAGCTCAGTGGTTTCACCACCTGCTGCACAAGTGCAAGGACCCTAGTTCAATCCCTGGTACCAAAAAAAAAAAAGAACAAAAATGGGCATCTGAGATGAACAGACATTTCTCAGACAAAGACGTAGAAACAGCAGATAAACATATGAAAAAAAATGTCCAAAACCACTGGTCATTTGAGAGATACAAATGAAAAAAATGCTGAGATTCCACCTCACTCCAGAAAGAATGGCTACTATCAAGAAATCAACCAATAACAAATGGTGGCAGGGTTGTGAGGAAAAAGGAACCCTTCTCCACTGCTGATGAGAGTGTAGACTGGTTCAACTGCTGTGGAAGTTAGTATGCAGATACCTCCAAAACTAGGATAAGAGGTCCCATTTGAACCAGCTATTCCCTTGCTGTGTGTCTTCCCAAAAGAACTAAAAGAATCATACCACAATGATGTATGGGCACCCATGTTTATAGCTGCACAGTTTGTAATAACTAAAACTTTGCAACAGCTTAATTGCCCATCAACTGGAGACTGGATAAAGATGATGTGGTTTTTTGTTTGTTTGTTTGTTTGTTTTTTAATAAAATGGAGTACTACTCAGTCATAAAGAATGAGAAACTAGAGACATTTATAGCTAAATGGATGTACATTGAGGCCATACTCTTAAGTGAAATAAATAGGGCACATGTGTATATATGGAATAGTTTTTCTGGTGTGAGAAACTGAAAGTGTAAATAAGGTTCAAAAGGCATAATAGATAATGTGAAATAGGAAGAAAAGGTCAAAAGGAGAAGGGGAAGTGGCAGGGGTAGGGGAAAAGAAAGAAGGGAAAGGAAGAAATATGAGAAAAGGAAAAAAAATGGAAACAAAGTCTTTGTAAATAGGGAGGGGTGGAGGGGTTAAAGGGAGGGCAGGGGAATGGGGAAAAAAATAAGAACCAAGATACATCATGTAAAGGTACAATTTCCCAATGATGAATGTTATCATATTGTATATCTAAAATGTAGCAATAAACTTAATGAATGAAAAAAAAACCAGATGTAGAAGCATTATAATTATTCACCTGCTTTCTAGTCTGCATAGATTCCCAAATCATCTAAGAGTTGAAGTAGTTATCAGTGAATTTAGAAATCATAAAGTACACTGCTACTATACCTGGAGAGAAAAAAAGATATATGAAATTTCTGACTGTAATCTACCAGAAGTTTATGAAATGTTTCTACTGTCATTTTACAAAAATAACTTCTAAGAGGACAGGAGCTCTCCGGTATTCGTAATAATACTTACAACTATTGCTGTCCATATAGAAAATAATAGTAGGTACTATCAGACAGTAAAATTACTGCTTTCTCTCACTCTTAGGATCCACTTGTTCCTGGGAAGATAAGAGTCTATTTTCTGTATTTGTATTACTGATGCTATATTTATTCCTGCACATCTATGTCCATACATATCTGTTGAGTAATTTGCATTCTTTTTTCAGTCTGTCCCATGCATCTGCAGCATCAGTTACCTCGGAGGTTGGTGAATGCAGTGTCAGGGCTCACTCTAGACCTGCTTAATTAGAATCTGCATTCTCAAGATCTCCATGGATGTGTAGGTACTTTGAGGCTAGTGGAGCATTGCTTTAGAAAGAATCTGTGCTAAGGACAGAGGTCCTTGGAATATCATGGCAAGATTTTCTTTTACCATACTGTGGGAAAGATGTGTTTGGAGCTTGTACACTGGAGAGGAGCCCACATGACAAATTACTAGGACAATTCTGTTGTGGAATGCGTGAAATAATTTGGAAAACAGAAGAAACAAAATGTCATTTAGACTCATCATCCTCACCAGTCACAATTAATATTTTGGTATAAGTTCTTTTAGTTTAGTTTCTTTTATTTGCATGATTTTTTAAACATGGCTAAAAATTTTACTCCTTACTAAGTAAGCTTCTTATTATCCCATAAGTATGTTATGAAATATGTGTTACAATATTATTATCACAATCATTTGAAATATTCAGTTGGGTATATTCAACATGATATTTAATCATTTAAAAGTTTTGAACTTTTAATATATTGACATCTTAATGCCCATAGGTTTTTTTTTTTCTCTACATGCAAGGCTATTTCTAGGGTGGATTCCCACTAATGCTAGATTGAATTTTTTTCTTTTTTCTTTCTTTCTTTTTTTTGGTTTCCAGTGGCCCTATCTCTACATTATCTTCAGTGAGCATCAGATCTTAATATTACACTGTTCCTGCTCCTGCCCTTTGTATTTTTATATCAATATTCCATGTTGTTCATTGAAAAGCCAATCACACCTATTTCTGGTAACTTTAAATTCATTTTATCCATCCTTGAATCACTCATTTTATTCTTGAAACTCCATTTCAGTTCCTGTTCCTGAGTCACTTTCCGCCCCATGAAAATTAAATGCAGAAACCATGTTTTCCACACAGATTAACCAAATTGATATGGGGCAGCCATGCTGGCTATCCAATTTCAAATATAGGACAACCTAGTTTTGAGTTACCCTTCCCTGAATTTTAAATGTTTCCTTTTAAAATTTGACAAAAGCATTTCCATCTGTCATCTTTATTAGCTGATAAAGACAGGGACTGTCTTGTACTTATTTGGAACAGTACGTTGCAATAAGTGCGTCCAAAGATGAAATGAAAACAAGTGAATTTGTAAGATAGGAAAACTGTAAATTTTAGATTTGAAATGTCTTATATAATTTCACAACCAGGACAGAGCAAGAGTCACTCACTGCCTTGGCACAGTGCTCATTTTAGTGTATACATGAACATGCCAGGGAAGAAATTATAGCCACATATTCCATCTGATTCCCAGAGTTTTATCTCTAAGCACCATTTCTAGTTTCTTTATATTTTGTGCAACTCACAAAGCATTAACCAAAACAAGTTAGTACAAACAGGGTGGTCTCTAAAACTTGTTTGGCTGTTTAAATTCTGGAGTGCCATTTGGGTAGAGCATAAGCAGCGACTTACATTTTCCTTCTTCATTCCTGCAGAGAACTTTTGTATCATCTGTGTTTTGTATAACTTCAAGAGATTCACCAGGCCTTATCTGTAGATCTCTAGTCCCCCACTTTTTAGAAGTTAAGGAAGATGAAACTTTGGTTGAATATAGAACTCTAATTTCACCATCATACTGGAAAAATAAATACATATAAGTTATCAGTTTATGTATATTACTATATAACTCATTCCCTAACAAATTTATTAAGATGATCTTTATTAAATAAATAGTTCAGTGTTTTCAAAATACAACATAAGAATATTAAAGACAATTTGGAGGGGGCAAGGAGTCACTTATTACCTCCCCAACATCATATAACAAGTATTTTTAAATTGCCTTCTTATCAAGTTTCAAATAATATCTAAATTTAGATTGTGATAGTATATAGATTGTGTTATGATAGCTTGCTTAATTTGTTATAGGAATAATTTAAATAAATAAATTTTGAAAAAAATCGAAGATAAAGGAGTTATGATGCAATTACACTTTTATTTTGTTATTTAAAAGTCAGATTTCTTTTGTTAGTGCTTTGAACTTTGTATGATAGCAAATATGACTTACTTTAAATTTTTTCCTGAGGTCTTTTTCTTCTTTTCCTTGTTTTTTTGGTTTCTTAGGATCTTTATCTTCTGTCTTGGCTTTTCCAGTGCTGCTTCCATAACTAGGGTGGCAGAACACACATAAAATAGCACTTTGTTAAAAAAATACAAAAGAGTAGACTATAACAGAGAACCAATTCATAGTATTAAATTCTTGTTTGCTTTTGCTTTTAATTTTTTCATAGAAACCATTAATATTTATTGTAATAAATAATGATATCTTATAACACAGAAGAGATTCTTCAAGTGAATGCAGATTACTAGTTAAAATGGAGATGAGTGATTCTTAATTTGAACAATATAAAATCACTGAGTAATAGTTGAAACATGTTTGCATACCAGTGGTTTCATGTGATTCAACTTGTACTTGAAACTCTTATATTTTAAATGGTTCTTAGATAATTGACATGGTTAATGTCACAGAAAAGGCTCAAAAAGAATGTTAAAAACTGATTTTTATGACTTATTAAATTGATCTATTTGCTAATATTTTCATATTAACCTAAAATGACCCACGGGGGCTGGAGGTGCAGCTCACTGGGAGAGCTCTTGTTCAGTATACATGAGGCCCTGGCTTGATTCCCAGCACCAATAAATGAATAAATCAATGGATTCGTGGGGGGAGGGGCAGTAAATGTTGATTAATAAAAAAGTTTTAGGTAAAATTAAAATTTTTAGGTATTACATCAAGAAGCTTCTTAACAAAGATGATGAATGTTCAATCTTTATCTTAACCACTTTATTAAATTGTCCATTTGAATGCATGTGTATGTATGGGAGAAAGACATTTTTAAGTGTTTTGACCATTTAATGGATTTCATGTGTTCAAAAATACCCTAGGACCCAAGCATAGAAATCTACTATATTTCTTCTATATGCCCTGTAACAAATCCAGTTATGATAACAGAAGTAGATAAACCTAAGACACTGATTATCCAGCCTAGTCATGCCCCAGTCACCTGGGAGCTTTTAAAACATAGCAGTGCCTTTGCCCAGTTCTTAGAAATTCTAATTTAATTTATATTAGTTTAAATTAATTTTAAATTCTAATTTAATTAGTCTGAGTGGGATCCAGGTACTGACATATACATATTTTAAACATCTCCAGGTGACACGAATTTGTAGCCCAGGTTGAGATCCATTTGCTAGTGTTAAATATGGATGCTAGGAAAGGGCTGAGAATCTCTGTAAAAGAGAATTTAAAAAACTGGAATATTTGTTGAATAGTAAAATATTTAAACACTGATATTAAATTTTTATTTAGATAATCTAAGATGAAGTTTTGTTTGTAAATTATTTATTTAAAAGGTTTGATTCTAAATTTTTGATTCTTTGCCTTTAGATCCTTCACTGTGGAAAGAACTAGTACAGAATCCTGTTAATCTCTGTTAAAATGCCCCACAAGCTAGCTTTAAAAATAATTTATTTAAAAATTGAATGCTATGTTAAAAAATGTAAAATTGTTTTAAACTCTGAAAATAAGCAATGGGTAAGAAAACAGTCCATATCAGATAAGGTTTAATCAGCTGGAGATTGCTTTGCTGTTAGACAAGGGCCGGTGTGTGTGTGACTTTGGGTTCCTGGGGAAATGGATTAGGGAATGTGGTGGAATTTCTACAGAAATACAAAACAGAAAAATGCATTAAAAACTATCAGTGATAGGAATGACTTCCCCATGTGGAGGAAGATGAACATGTTACCGCAGGTTAGATTTTCTTTTCACAGAGAATTGAAAAAGAATGATTCTCTTTTCATCTGTCTTGTTTGTTTTGACTATTGAACTTGATCTTCATCTGTGGATGACAGTACATTTTCCTTTCGGTTCTTTGATCCTGATACTGCCTGTAGTCTGGTAAAATTAGTTTAACAATACTGGTAAAAAATAAATATTTCAAGTTCTGTCATGTGTTCTTACCAGTACAGCTCAGAAGACGCTGCTTGTGTCCATTTATATTACTTTCTTCCTTTAATCAAATATGGCATCTTTTTCATTCAACATTTTTTTCTTGAAATGGGTGTCTTTGCTTTTATACACCGTATGTATCAAATCATCTCACATATTTATTTGAAAAAGAGAAAGCACCTTACCATTGTGTGTTCTATCAAAAGAATTTTCAGAATGTGGTCCTTTTGTATTAAATGATCTTAACAAAGTTTCATACTATTTAGCTTAAAATTAAATTGAAACCTCAGGTAAGGTAAAGAAGCTCACTTTTATCATTGGCTTTTTAAAAAAAGATCTTTGAATGGAATGTTTGAGATTTATGCTTTTGTGAAAAGGGGACATACTGTTGCTTAAACTCCTTTTAAACAACAAATCCTTTTTTATTTTGCTGTAAAGGAAATAATTTGGTGGAGGAAAAGGAGGGCTTGAACAAGAAGGGCGAGGACTGAGATGGGACATAAAGAGGTACATTCAAGACAAAAAAAGGTTTGGGAGAAGAGTAAAAAACAAACAAGGCAGGAGATGAATCATCTAGACGGTTTATGACCAGGATCTCAAATATGTTTTCCCAGTGAATGAGCAAATAACCGAACACAGACATCAGTGAGTCATGAAGCAGCCGCTGATCAGGAGACAAGGGGCAGAACCGCAGAAGCAGGGGTCGGAGGCGGGGAGGGGCTGGAGGGAATGGGCGACTGGGGAGAGAGAAGGGGGAGGAGGGCTGCTCACAAACCTAGCCCTGAAGTCAGAGCGGGGATCTGAAAGCAGTACCGTTTTAGAAAGGACAAAGCCAGTATGATTGCTCATAGAAGACTTGGGCGCCTTCAGGTTTTCACTCTGTTGAAATTGTCTTGAACAATCTCATTTTCAGTCCACTGTAATGAAAGCATGTCAATTACCTCATCTCTGCTGGCAGGGCAGGGAAATCAGAGGCATCCACATCATCATACACTTCTTCTCCCACTTCTACCAAAAGAAAGAATATTAAAGATTGGTAGAAAAGTTGCCATGACCTTAATTGGTTCAGTGACCTTGCCAATCTGTAGATATTTTTCTTTTTTCTAAACTTTTGTTAAAGTCAGGAGGAATGCTTTTGCTCTGCACCTAAGCTGCTCCACAGCAAATTAAACTAAAGAGATGAGTTGAAGAAATTGTAAAACTTCTAAGAAATGGCTGAGCATTGTGGTCCATGCCTGTAGTCTCAACATGGGAAGCTGAGGCAGGAGGATCATGAGCTGAAGGCCAGGTTGGGTTTACACAGAGAGTTCAGTGCTGGTCTAAACTAAATAGCAAGGCCTTGTCTCAAAAAAAGCAAAAAATAAAACAATCTAGGGAATGATTATCACAGAACTGAAGATGTAGTTCAGTGGTAGAACACTTGCCTAGTATGCATAGGATCCAAGGTTTGATCCCCAGCATTCAAAACAAAAAAAACACCTCAAAACTGTGTTTCAGCTTCTGTGTGTATGTATTCAAGTTAATATTACAGAATAAAACTTGCACAACTATATGAAAAACTCATAATAGATACTTTAAAATATATCATTGATTTTCAGAAGGGTAAAATTTACTATCCCATGAACATGCATTTAAAATACAGTTGAGAACAACATTAATGAACAAACAAAAAACTAACATTTTAAATGGAATTGATTACATTTTTTCAATTTATGCCTACTCTTTATGGGGCCATTTTTACAAAGACTTTTGAATATTACAGATTAAGATATGAGTGTACCAGCAGATACTGAATTAATAAATTTATAGCTGCAAAGAAAATTTTAAGGCAGATTGAGTTTGAAAGAATGAGTTATCTCTCTGTTGGCTTGCTTTTTTAATACATCTATAAACTCTTCAAAAGCCCATAAATATTCTTGGGAAATAACATTTTGTTCAAACAATTTAACATTTTTTTCCAAGGTGTGTCTCAACATGGATAAAAAAATGATTAAATTGTACAAAGAGGAAACATATTTAAAAATGTCTAAATACAATATAAATTATACAGCTTTAAAAAGTAGATACAGAAGGACCTTGATGGCATATAATATGGTATGCTTTTAGATATTTTTATGAAGAGTCCTACATTCCATGGACAAACTGGGCAGGGGACGAGGGGAATGTTGGTGTGTATCCCTTCATATTTATCCCTAACTCTGTAGAGGCTTCTGGGAGAATAGTTTAAAGCAATCCTCCTGTTTTATTTTTCTCGACCCACTGTTTTATTGTCACCAATTGTGGCCATCCAAATTGAAGTTACCTGCTTAAGGTGACAAAATTTACTATTTTCAGAGTCAAGACTTTACAGATATTGTGACTATATTCAATGCTTCCTACTATTCCATATATAAAAAACAAAGATATAAAATACGTAATTAGTTTTTATTACTTACCCAATTGTTTAGGAGGAGAAGGGAAACTGGAAAGAAAATGAAAGTAGAATTATAATCAGACTAATATGAACCCAGACATTAATTCTTTTTTAGTAATTTAATTAAATTAATTTATTTATTTTTGGTACCAGGTATAGAACTCAGGACCTTGTGCTTGCGAGGCAGGTGCAGTGCCACTGAGCTAAATCCCTGGCCCATCAATTCATTTTCATAGGAGAGGTATAAACAGGCTATAGCCCAGAGGCTTAAAAAAGATTAATTAATCTGTTGACCATTGTTCCTTTCTCATCCTCCATTTTCCATTAAGTCCTAGTTTCTGTCCATCAATTTGGGAGTTTTTGAACCCCAGTGTTGGCAAAAGACGTCAAGAGTCAAGTCACTTAGTTACCTTATTTTCCCCACAGCCATTAGACCAATGTTTTCAGATTTGTTCTGAGGTCTGAGCAAATGTTGCACTAGAGTAAATTAAATGGACTCAATATTTTATAGTCCTTAAGGCACTCATAACTCTGGCTCAAAACTGTTTATTTGAATTGAAGGATAAAAGACAGAGCCCAAATCTACAGAAGTCATTGGAATATGACCATATTTCCTCATATGTATTATATATTCCCAAGCAGGAGAATGGTGAATAAGAGAGGAACATTCATTTAAACTATACAATAAGAGCTTATTAGTAGAAGTGATCTAAAGTCAAGATTAGGTGGCATTTAGTTGCAACAGAAAAAGACCTTTGTGTTTATTACTTTCTGATCTATGACTTCTAAATATACATATATACACAAACACACACCTTTGAAAGAATGGTGGATAGGACAGAAATGACTGGAGTGTGAAGGATCACTAATTTGAATGATCCAAAATCAGAGTGGGTGGTATGTAACTGAAACAGAAAAAAAACCCATTCTTTTATTTCTAAGTAAAGATTATATTTGATAATGTTGCTCCAAGATTTCTTGTTATGTTTTCTCAAAATTTCAGGTATTTTATTGACTGTCTATTGACTGTGGGCTTTGTGTTTTGCCTTCATGAAATAATTTTGGGTTTAAAATTAGGAATCCTATGTAGAATTAACAGCTTAGACTTCAGCTAAATATGGTGAATACATTAGACACATATAAAACAAAATGGCTCTCCTGTGCCAGGAAACATGATTAAGATCCTTCAAATTCATGGGTATGGAATTTTAAAGGGTTATTTTGGGGATGGAAAGAGAAAACTTGTGCTTTAGTTTTTATTTAGACAAGTTTTTAAGATTTTTTAAGTTTTATCTGTACATGTTTGCAGTTCATGTAGTTTACAATTAATTGTCTTGGAGAATGGCTACTATTTAGACAAATTTAAGATACATATTTAGAAAAATCTTAGAATAAGAGAAATAGACATCAAATAACTGTTGTGGAACAAAAACTGTACTGTATTTAAAGAAAAGAAATCCCACATTGTTCTTTTTTTTTTTTTTTTTTGGTACCGGGGATTGAACTCAGGTCCTTGCACTTGTGTAGCAGGCGGCGAAACCACTGAGCTAAATCCCTGGCCCCCACATTGTTCTTTATTTCTAGAAAATTATTTGTTTAATAGAGAATAGAAGCCAGGTGTGGTGGTGCACTCCTGTAATCCCAGCACTTGAGAGGTTGAGGCAGAAGGATTGCCATGAGTTCCAGGCCAACTTGAACTACATAGTGAGTTCAAGGTGAGCCTTAACTACATAGTGAGACCCTGTCTCAAAAACAAACAAACAAACAAACAAGAATAGTAAATTTAAAATACCATATATTTTACTATTTGTAACATTGGAATTGGAATTACAAGCTTCTAGATGAGATGCCATTAAAAACATTCTAATAAATGAAGTGTGTGTTCATGTGTGTGGAACGAATGTGTGAGGTGTGTGCACATGTGTACATGCTGTGTTTTAATGGATATTTGTGAGAAAAGAAAAATTTTTTTTTTTTTGGTACCGGGAATCGAACTCTGGTCCTTGCACTTGCAGGGCAGGCGGCAGAACCACTGAGCTAAATCCCCAGCCTAGTAAAATATATTTTTGAGTTATATGATGGTTTTTGAATGCTTGGGCTCCTCTTATTAAATGATGAATGAATTTAAGGATGGAACCACATATGAGTCTAAGATGATTAACGGAACATAACACTCAGATGGTTTAAGCCTATAATGATTTGATTATTGGTTATAGAAATATTAGTAGCATTCAATTAACATTAGTGTAGTTATTTGCACTGAATTTGGTTGGTTGACTCTTACGATGAACCTTCATTATTGTCTGACTCAGAGACTTTACGTTTCTCTCGTATACTTTTCTTTTTGTCATCTTTTCCCTTTAACTTCTTCAAAATTCCCCAGGACCACGTGCTACTCTTCTCTTCAACCTGTAGCGTGGAACTTTGGAGCAGGCATTGATCAGAATGTAATAATCAGCAGAATCTGAAGACATCGTGTGGACATTTAGATTTTTTTCCTTAAGTTCTTTTATTGGTATATTTTAAGTATACAATACATTTACATTTATCATTGGGTACTTGTACCTGTACATGATGTATCTTGGTTCTTATTTTTTCCCAATTCCCTGTCCTCCCTTCACCCCCTCCACCTTTCCCTATTTACAAAGACTTTTCTTATAATTTATCCTTCCCCTTCTTTCCTTTCCCCTTCCCCTCCCACTTCCCTATCCCTTTGGACCTTTTTTCTTATTTCAAATTATCAGTTATTCCTTTTAATCATTTTAATCCTTATTTACACTTTCAATTTCTCACACGAGAGAAACTATTCGGTATTTACACTTGTGTGTCCTATTTACTTCACTTAAGAGTATGGCCTTGGGCCGGGGATTTAGCTCAGCGGCTTCACCGCCTGCTGCGCAAGCGCAAGGACCCGAGTTCAATCCCCGGTACCAAAAACAAAAAAAAAAAGTAAAAAGAGTATGGCCTCAATATGCATCCATTTAGCTATAAATGTCTCTAGTTTGTCATTCTTTATAGCTGAGTGGTACTCCATTTTATTAAAAAAACCACATTTTCTTTATCCTTCTGCACTGCAAGAGAAACCACCAACAAAGCTAAGAGACAACCTACAATGCGGGAAAAAATTTTTACCAGCTGTTCCTCAGACAAAGGTCTACTATCTAGAATATATAAAGAACTTTAAAATATCAGACTCCCCAAATTTAAAGACCCAATTCAAAAATGGGCATCTGAAATAACAGACATTTCTTGACAAAGAATTAAAAGCAGCAAATAAATATATGAAAAAACGTTCGACATCACTGGTCATTGGAGAGATGCAGATGAAGACAACACTGAGATTCCACCTCACCTCAGAAAGAATGGCTGCTATCAAGAAATCAACCAGTAACAAATGTTGGCAGGGGCGTGAGGAGAAAGGAATCCTTCTCCATTGTTGGTGGGAGTGCAGACTGGTGCAACCGCTGTGGAAATCCGTATGGAGATACCTCAAAGAACTAGGACTAGAGGTCCCGTTTGACCCAGATATTTCCCTGCTGGGTATCTTCCCAAAAGAATTAAAAGAATCATACCACAGTGATATATGTGCACCCATGTTCATAGAGGCACAGTTTGTAATAGCTAAAGTTTGGAAACAGCTCAAGTGCCCATCAATAACATTCAGATTTTTTATTATTATACTATATTGATCATTGGGGCAGTGAACAGCTCATTGTATTCAACAAGGTGGTATTATTAAGCTTATAGACCATTGTGTTTGAATATTGTTCCTACTATGTTAGCCATTTTTTTCTATTTAGTGAGATTTCTCCTGGTTCTTAAAATACAAAGCTAAGTAAGTTAAGACTGAGTTAATTTAACTTTATACATGGTTAGAATTAAATAATCGGTAGGTTTAAATTTTAAACATGCCTTTTCAAAGTGGAAATAAGAGAATTTATTTTATTATTAATTTAAGAGATGATTCTTTTATAACTATTATTATAAATAAAAATATATTCTTAAGGTAAAAGATTAAGTATTTGTTGTTAGTCATCTTCCACAGATAGTAACTTTACTCCAGTTCTTACTGTTATATTATCATACAAGCAATAGCCATATAAGTGATAAACTCTCCAGATTATTGTAAATCATTGATTGATAAATAAATGATTGGAAAAACTTTGAAAAACATCTATAATGTCTATACTTTATCCTTTCACTTCTTTTGTGATAATTATTGAAGTTCTTCCAAACAACCTACCATTTCTGATTTTTACTACTGCTGTAAAAGTAAACATTCAAATCATTTTGGGAATGTAATAAAGAGCATGATTTTCTGCTTCTTATCCTAACTGGAAATCAAAACTAAATTTCCATATAGATAAAATATTTTCCAAAAAAGAAATTCACTGATTATTCTCACCCATCATTAGCATCTTCCTCTTCTATCCCATCATAAATGTCATCATCCGGTGGTGGTGGGAAGACGCCTTCTTTTGGATTATGGAGAAAATCTTTTGTTAATTTTATCATTTGGCCACATAGAGGTCACTCAAATTTTAATAATAAATCTACCTTATTTCACTGTAGAAAACATCCCTCTATCATATTAACTATTTAAATAAAAACGTCCTTTCATTTCTCACTCTCACACAGAGGGTAGGTAAATTAATTGCTGATCTTTTTATAAGAACTTACAGGGCTTAACATAGTAAAGATGAAGAATAATAAAAGGCACTTTGGACTTCAGATGAAAGGAATGGGGAAGAATAGGCATGAGAAACAATAAAACTGAATAGGAGCTAGAGCTTGGTATTTATTGTGGAAAAAGAGAAGTGAGGAGGTGATAAGAAAAATATAGCTAACAGAGAGTGATCATAAAAAGATAGTGATCAAGATGAAGTGAAGAGCCAGTTTTGTGAAGTGTGCCTATAATGTTGGCTACTGTGGAGCCTGAGGCAGGAGGATCACAAGCTTGAGTCCCGCCTGGGCAACTGAGGGAGACACTTGAGAGACCCTGTCTTAAAAAAACAAATAAGCACTGGGGATGTAACTCCGTGAAAGGGTTCTGTGTTCAATCCTCAGTATTAAAAAAAAAAAGATACAACTAAAGACAATCAAATGTAATGAAAGGTGAAGGTGGTAGTTGAAACAAAGAAAAAAAGTGAAAGGTGACATTATAATGAGTATGTTTTAAACTTAAACCCTTTCTTGTTTCATTTATTATGCTACAATCTTCAGAAAGTTTGCTATTTGATAAATATTTAACAAGGGTTTATTGAGTACCCTCTATATACAGGAAAATGTATGAAATTTAGCTTTAAGCAGAGCATTTGAACCTAAAAGGTATTAGTTTAAATCCTTTATTTTGTTCCTGGGAAATTCAGGGGTCTTTAGGAGTCATAGTTAAGGTGACCATATGAATTGTTATCTATAGAAGGGTACTTCTGGAAGTGAAGGGGGGGTACTACTATTAATTGTGCTTGGACAGTTGGCATAAACCCAGCCTTTCCTAGGCACAGTATAAGTGGGATCACCCTAGATCCATAGCAAACTTGGAGGAAAGAAGTGACTTTCTCAAAGTCACTTGGGGACCAGGATGAGAATCCAGGTCATTGACTCTCAGCCCAATGTTCTTTCTCTTCATTAAGATCTCCATTATTATTAGGAAACTAAAACATTTTGTAATTAATATTCTCAAAAATGTTGAAGATTGTAAAGAAATTTGTTGAAGACTTGTAAAGAAACTTGTAAACCCTGATATAAAGCATGTAGTTTACCTCCACTTCCACTCTGACTTTGGCTAGGAGAAAAAAAAAAAGCAGAAATATTACATTAATAGATGATTTATTTAGCTCTCAGGAAAAAAAGTACATGTATTGAGCAGTTATATAAAAGAGAAATAACATTCTAGTTAAAAATTATAAGCACGCCCATATGAAGAGGAAGAAAAATGTTTTTCACAATAGTTGTGTAACCACAAGGCAACATAACAAAACAAATAAACCACCACAATAAAAAAAAAGAACCAAGTGAGTTACAGTATTGCATATGATATTCTAAACAATAGTGTTTACTTTTAACATTTCCCTATCAGGCAATTTTCAGATTATACAATATGACATCATTCTATAGATGGACTATTCAAATGTTGCCCAAGAGTGTTACTCAAGGAGTCATACAGAGCAATTATTATTGCATTAAATTCAATTCTCTTTCAGTATCTTAGAACCAAAACATTTTGCTCTTCATCCAATAGCATTAAATTTTTTTTTATTCATTAAGTTTATTGGTACATTGGTACATTTTAGGTATACAATATGATGACATTCATCATCTGGAATTTGTACCTTTACATAATCTATCTTGGTTCTTATTTTTTTTCCCCATTCCCCTGCCCTCCCTTCAACCCCTCCACCTCTCCCTATTTACAAAGACTTTGCTTCCATTTTTCCTTTTCTCATAAAAAATTTTTAAAGGAAAAACATTTTAAAAATTGAAGTGGCCCCTAACTCTCTAAAAATATTGTGTTTATTTACTTCCATACATTCTGTACTTTTTAAAAGCTTTTGTAATTATCTGTTTTCGTGCCTGTGTCTCTCACTAAAGTAGAAGTTCTATCAGAGCAAAAGTAACGCAGTCAGTGAAGACTAGGGGGAAAAAACTTTCAGAAGTCATCTATTTATTCAAATCCCTTATTTTGCAGAAAAGTTGAGGTGTTGAGAATTTGAGTTGGCCAAAGCCACTTCTATACCTAGCTGCACTCTCCATCTCCATTTTTGATCTTCATATTATCTGCCTGCAACAGATATCAATTTGATGTTACAACCATATGGGACAATTTTATTTTCATACCTGATTCGTTAACTCAGTAGATTAAACTGATCTGGTACAGATCTCTGGTTAATTTAGAGATAAAAACATACTCTTGCCGATAGAACTTGCACCTACTGACTTTCAAACAAAGTCAGTGTGTTTCTAATTACAAAAGTCAATTTATAATCTATAAACTTTACCTCTTGCATTGCATTTTTAGTATATGTTGCATAATTTATGATTGTAACATGGAGAGAAGGCATAGCAGGTTTATAGTTCATTTTGGAAAGACAAAACTGCCAGAAAGCAATGTAATAGGTTCAACTGGTGATGTGAGGTTAAAAGTTATAAGAGGAAATATAACTTGATGGTTTTACATTGTTAAAATATTTTCAAATTTTAAAAATTTCTTCTGTGCAATTTGAATTATGAAGGAAAACACAATTTCACCCAAATAAAGATCTAGCAAAGATTATGTTTTTTGAGCTCACAAAGGTTTCCCAATTTCATAAATTGAACAAAGAAAAATGAGGATTCTTAAGTAAGCTGGAGATTTTTCTCCCCTTTTCCTTTCAACCTGAGGGGATGCCATTCACAAGAAAGTGAGAGGTTTGAGGAAAGAAGAAATGATAGAAGAGGAATGATAAAGCAGAGAGGAGAAGGAAAGATAAAGGAAGATCAGAGCTAGGACAAAGAGACAGAAGAGATGGAGGAGAAAAAGGAGGCAGAACACTGAGAAAGGATAGGAAGGAGATAAAGGCTGTTGTGGTTTGAATTTCAATAATTGTGTTAAGGTTTGGTTCCCAGGATGGTGGTAGGAGGAGGTGCTGTGGACCTTAAGAGGCAGGGCCTGGTGGACCTTAGGTCACTGCCTCAGAGGGAACTGTGGGATCTTGGCTCATGCCTTCTCCTCTCTCTGCTTCGTGGGTTGTGATGTGAGCAGTTTGCTCTGACACACGTCCCCTTCCGTTGCCATCTGGCACCCTCACTAGACACCAGAGTATTGAGGATGCTCAGTCTTGGATTGGAAATGGCAGAACCTTGAGTCCAATAAACGTTTTCTCTTTATAAGTTAATTGCCTCAGGTATTTCACTGTAGCAATGTGGAGCTGACTATTACAGTGGTATAGGGGAGAAGATGGACAAACTTATCTTTTCCTCTTCCAGAAAGATGTCCTGTTCTGTTCTTTTAGAAGAAAGATAATCCTAATCTAGTGGGATAAATGAGCAATGGAAAGTTGGGCCTTTAGTTGATTCCCAGGAATTATAGGGAATTCATTTTTTTTTCTGGAAAAGGTAGACTTTTAATAAGTGTTCTTATCACCAGGCTGTCATGCAGTTACAAAGTGGTTAGAAATTTCTTAAAGGGCATTGTTAAAAAAAAAAAAAGGAGCTCATCTTTACATAAATAATATCTAGTACTCCACTGGGACACTACAATTCAAAGGGCCCTGGCCAAGTAATTCCCCAAACAAAATAGTCCTCCAGGTGCATCGGCCTGCTGTGAAGGGGGCAGGTGCAGATCAATTTTTACTTTTAAAGGCTAAACAGGAGTTGTACTAAAACTCATTATTTTTTTCGGTTATATTTTCAAATAATAACAAAATACAGTACAATTAGTATTAGATTTCATAGCAAAAAGGGCTAGAATTTATATTTTCTGTGTTATATTTTACAAGACCACATTGGTTTTAGGATTTGCTTTTAGGATTTTTTAGCATTTGACTTGCTAAGATCAAATCATAATGAACATTTTGCAGCAGTATTTTGAAACGAAAATACATTTGACAATCTGGCAAGCAGTGCATTCTATTTCAAGCAGTATGATACACAAAACCAAAAAGTCAAACTGAAGACTGGGGTTTCAAATGTTTTTTTACCCATACTGGGGTGATGGGGAGTCATGATTTAGTTTAGTACAGCAAGCATTAGGAGGTATTGAACGTAGTAAAATTCTAGGCTCTTAAAACACATAACCTTTGACAAGGAGGCAGTCTGATGTGTCTCACAATCTGTATTCGTACACACCTGTTACTAGCATCCTGCTCAGCAACATCATCGTATACTTCCTGGTCATCTTCAATGGGTCTTGAGAGAGTGGTGAAAGAGGACTTTTTCCTTTTCAAAGAATCATAATCAATCTCTACAGCAGTTGTTTTGATATAGCCATCTACCAAAAACGGGGTGGAGGAGACTTAAGTTCAGGCAACTGTAACTTAAATGTTTTAGAGTTGAAAATAAAATAGCATTTTCCCACTTGCTCTTTAAAATTTCCCTTTATTTGTTGTAACTCTGATTTGCAAATCTCCTGTATGGACACATTTTACTATATACTCTCTCAGTCTTATCCTGTTGTACTTTGGTGTAAGCCTAGGTCTATTTAATGATTCCAAAATGATTTACAGAAACATATTTCCCTTTTAACCTAAATGAAGACTCTAATGACCTTTGGTCCTCTTTGGAATAAAATATAAAACTTGGACAATATAATAATATACATTGTCCCCTACTAAAAAGAACACGGATGAAGTGAAGATAGAACTCGACTTGTCATTTTAGATTTTCCTACTCAGTGACATACCCTGATTTGATGTTTATAGTTCTGCAAGGATATGAACATGTAATATTGGATCCCCACCAAAAAACCCACTTTAAAATCATAGGGAAATGTGCACTCACATGACCCCCTTGCTGTTCTGCCCAACCATTTTCCTTCAGGGTTGTCAGTGATACGGATTATTTCAATTTCCTCTCCTTGCTTGAAGCTTAGTTCATTCTTTCCTCCTTTGACATCACAGCAGGCTTTTGCCTGATGGATGACTTGAATAGGGCCAGTTAGCTGTAACGAGAGAAAAACAAAACAGAACAGTTTCTCTTACTACTTAGAAAAAATTTAAGGAATGCAGTTTTAGAAACAATAAGCTAATCTACCTATATTCAACAGTTACAGGCTTTATGTAGAAACTGAAGGTAAATGTCATTCCTGGTAAGTGTTCAAATAGGAGGAGTTAGGGAAAAACCAGAGCCCAAGCAGGACCAGCAAAGAACAGGCGAATTTATGCTTGGGGTCCAGGAGAGAGTGGCAGAGGTCTCTATAGAGTAGAGGCAGCCTCTGGCAACTGAACATCATCTATGCACACCAGAGCATGTTGAACATAGTGTGCTAGTACAAAAAATTTTTTCCCTCTCTTTTTGTTGTGTAGAATGTCTTTTTTTGCATTGTTCAGTCTTCCTTCCATTCTCTCTCTCTCTCCCCCCGCCCTTTCCTTCCTTCTCTCCTCCCTTTTGATTAAACCAAGAGCCTTGTGCATGCTAAGTATGTGTTCTACCACTGAACTATACCCCAGATGCCTTGTGTAGTTATTCTGATGTTCTCAGTAAAAGAAAAGGTAGTTGGTGGTGGTTTGTTGTACTGTGCGAAAATCAATTTCTTTCTCTTTTCTTATTTAAAAAAAGTTTACTGTATCTATTGACACATTTGGAGTAGTCATTATCTGCTATAAACAAGATAACATTTTAAAAATAGCTTCATAAATTTAAAAAAGAAAACAAGTTCTCTGTGAGCTTTTTAAAATTAATTCCCTGAATACTATGGTGGGTTTTTTTTTTTTGGTACCGGAGATCGAAATCAGGACCTTGAGCTTGCAAGATAGGTGGCCACCACTGAGCTAAACCCCCAGCCCAAAGTATGGCAGTTTCTTGACAGTAGGAGAATAATCTAGTTTACCCCATGAACTCTAAACTCCTAATCTCCTAATCTTAAATTGGCATCTTCAACAGAATTTCTTGGATCTTTTGATACGTAAATGTGCATTGTGATTTTTGAAAAAGCTTTACCATATTTTATTGAATTTATTATGCCATATTATGCCACATTATAGGTCATATTATCAATTATGTACCACTAAGATTTTTCTAAAGCTTAAATTAAAATATAGTATGCTATGATACTGATGGAGCTCAATTCTCACATTTATTTAATTTTTTATCCAATATCTATTAACATTTTGTGGGAAGAATATGTATTATAAAGTGCTAGTCTTGGCAAAATTTTGGGTTTATATCTAGTGATAAGACTGCTACACCCTTTTTCTTACTAAATTATTTCCAAAAGAAATGACAACCAAAATAATCTCATACAGTTCTTTGAAAACTATAACCAGTCTCTTTAGGAATTGTATTATATAGATCTTCATTTAAGACATTAATTTTCCACTTGAAAAAATGTAAAAATTGTTAGCCATGCAATCTGTGTAAAGCATTTTAATATTTATAACATAATAATGATTATACTTGTATATAGTGAGTTTTTTCAAAATTTAAAGATAACCTGTGATATACATGGTAAGTTTTGTGCAATATTTTATTTCATCTCATAACAAACTTTCTGGAAAGGTATAATTTATTTTAATTTTAAAGAGTAAAAATCTGAGTCTCAGAGAAGTTAAGGAATAATCTTATGATCAAATACCCATATGTACAGCTGGACTTTGAATCCACATCTGTCCAAAGCCTCTTAGCTGTATGTTTTCCCTGCACTATGGTGTTGAGTCTTTACATTAATGCCATATATATATATATATATATATCTCCAGGAAGTAACCTCTAAATTAAATTAAAAGCATGTATTAAATGCTCCAAAGGAATACTTTTTAAAGTGAAGAATAGTTTTGTAATTCAGATAATCACTCAAAATGTATTTGAGATGCCAGACTCATATCAGATGGGCTATGATGGTAGAACCATGTGAATACACCCTGTGACTGTGTTGTTTGGTGATGGTACTAACAGAACTCACACAATTACCAGAGATCAGAAAAGATAAAGGTCAGAAATTAAGGGAGACAAAGAGGAATGAAAACTAGTAGGTATTAGAAGTCAACATGTACACAGGCTTAAAATAAAAGCAAATGTGAAAGACAGGTTCAGACACCAGCAGTTAGAGTAGTTCAAAGAAATGTTATCCTGAGACAAATCTGGTTCATCTAGGGGGCACTTGTGTCACTTGCACCTCTGTATTATGTGCCATGGGGACATTTATGTGTGTGTGGTCTTAAACTCATGGAATAAATAGGCCAATAGGAAACATGTAACAAGAAGAGCCAAGTTGAGTTTGTTTAACGGAATATTCATTCAGTCAACATAAAATTTTCAGCATACTTACTGATTGTAAGCCTCTAACTTATATTTTATTTGGATTTTACTTTATTACATTTTTAGTGCAGGGATTAGGTCGTATATTGAATGTAAAGTACTCTTAAGCAGAAAGATTATGTTTTGAAAACTATAGTTAATTCTCTGACTATGTAAGTTTTCAAGAATTGTGCCCTTCTCAAGTGAGAGTCACAAAAAGAAGTTTCTGTTTCATCAATCAACAAGGAAGCTCTTACTTTAAATTTTTTCCTTAATTCTTGTTCTTTCTTCTCTTTCTCTTTCTGTTCTTTTCTTTCCAGCTCTATTCTCTTCTTTTCCTCCTTTTCCCGTTTCTTGTCTCGTTCTTTGGATGCCTCTCTGTGGACACAAATAGGTTGTTTCTGTACATACAGGGCTTGATGGGTCAGGGGGCAGACACTCCACAGAAGCTTGAACCCACCACCAAGCATGGTCTCTAAAGTGTAGAGGAAGGTGAGACAATCCTGGATGTGTGAGATTGTTTTAAAAGCCAGTAGGAAGCGCAAAGATGGGTGCTTTCCAGGGACTCTGCTGCCCTTTACACCTGTGCCACCAAGTGCAAGACACTTTTAGAAAAGTTCTGTCCTTTCATGCTGGTATAATAAAATTATTAATCTCTCTCTCCTCACATGCAAACCTTGGTTCAGTAACTTTGGTCAAAATGGGTTGAATAAGAACTAGGTGGAGAAAATTAAGATATCATTAAGATATCTTAAGCTCAACATATGATTTTAAAATGTTCATTTCTACTTTCACTCACATTTCAAGAAATATCTTAGGCTTAGACTACTTAAAAATCCATTTTGGAGACATTTTTGGTTTTGGAGACATTTTAACATCTTTCCAGCAAGCTGAAAGTTTGGCATCTAGTTCTGTGCTAAACTACTTCTCACAGCCCCTGTTCTGCCTGCGTGAAGAAGGCAGAAGAAATAAATTAATCCATTTGCTCAAGGATACACTGACAGCAAGAAATACAAATTCCTGTGTCTAGATCCCTGCCTCTGGTCTCTCTAGTAGTCTGTAGGTCTCGGGCCTCTCACACAACAGCTTGTTAGCAGAATCCTCTGCAGAATCCTTAGAGAAGTAAAGAATGTTCAATTCTTTGTACTGAAACAAAGGTTATCCTTACATGCCAATCATTTAGAAAAAATAAAGCTCTTCCCTCCTTATGGAGGTCTTTACCCACACTTCTTCTTACAAAACATTATACTCAACTTAGAAGAAAACTATTATAGTAAAAAATGTAATTCATACATGTCTTCATATGTTTCTACTTCACTGTCTTGATCCTGTCAAGGAAAATGGATAATAATTAATTTCAATTACACAAGAAGGCATCATACACATATTTCATTGATCAATATTTATAAAACAAGTATTTTTGAGTTTATGTGATTTAAGTATAAGTAAGTTTGGCTTATTTGCAAAAAATTATTTTTTTGTCCTAAGATAGACTAAGGAATTAAGCACAAAAATATTTACTTTTCTCTCCTGCTGTATCATTCAGATGTGCAGCTAGACATGAGTTTATGTTCAGCGCTAAAACATTCCTATGAGTCAGTGTACTGACTGGTGTTTAATGTCTCAAGCATTTTAGATGAAATAAGATTACAAACGGAAAAATACCATCATTACTCATTAAAATTTTATGTTTGGTTTATGCCAATAGGAAGTGAATCACATTAATTGTTAAATATTTTAAGTATGGCAGTATCATATGAGAAGAAAAATGTTAAAAACTGACCTCTTCTAGATTTCCAGTACCTAAAGGATTAAAAAAAATAAGTTTAATATGTTGTAATTAAGAAGAACTTTAGGGGCCAAGGATTTAGCTCAGAGGTGCCAACACCTGCCCCATAAGCGCAAGGTCCTGAGTTCGATCCCCGGTACCAAAAAAAAAAAAAAAAAGAAGAAGAACTTTAATATATGATTACTGAATATAATAATGATAATAGTTAAACAGTCGATGAGCTAACAGAACTGATGATCAAAAGACACAAAAGTGCAAAATAGAATACATGCCTAAGACCCTTACTGTGGCTTTTTGGAATACTTATAATTGAATTATAAAATCATTTTATTTGCTTTCATAAAATAATGCAAAAACTAACAACTAAGCCACATTTTATTTCCTTATGTAAGGCCAGTGCATTTGGGCTTATGTGGAACAAAGTTTATAAAAAAATCACCAATAGTCCACACTTTCTGACTCATTTCTTTCTGTGATTAAGGTAATAAATAAAATATTTTTTGCCTCTTACCATCAGAATGCATGACACCGTCTTGATTTTCTTCATGTACAGTGCTTCTGAAAATAAGAAAGGAGAAAAAGTAATAATAGAGTGAGTTAATGTTCACCTTACAATCAAAAAGGGAAAAATATTATTTGAATTATTTTTTTCTCTTTAATAATTGCTTTAATTTCAAACTTCAGACATAGAAAAGGATTTAGCCATATATTCATGCTGCCACTGTGGCAAAAAGTGGAGATTTGAGAAGCTTGAGTATAGCACTGGCCATTCACAGTGGATGTGTATAATGAATTCACTGCTTCAAGGGAGACATATGTTTGCCATTAAAATGGATTGTTCAATCCTTGATTCTAAAGACATTTGATTGGTTCTATGGTAAACTCAGCAAGGGGAATTTGTTCAATCCCCAATTCCTTCTTCTCCAGATGGTCTCCAACTGCCTTTACTTCAATCACTTAGAGGCTTAGATGCCAAGGTGCTTCCTCTCAACCATTTAACTCCAACTTCCTTTAACAATATTATCAATACCTGGACCCCAAAAGTTCTTAATGATTTATGTAACCATTTATCTTTTCTATTCTTTTCATACAGATTAGCTTAGCTAAGAAAATCACCAATTTTACTGACTTTGGACATTAAAAATAATTGGAATCTAATCTCAATTCTACCCTTACTATTCTTTAATCTCATTGATCTTTTTTTCCTAGTCACCTTTTCTGTGTCATTTTTCTCAATCTTCATTCAAAATCTTCACCACTTTCTTCAAATCTTCTGTCCCTCCCCTCTCCCTTATATTTAGATGACCTTGTTTCTTATTTCGCAAATAAAATAGAGTAATTGGATAGGAATTCCTTTAAGAAAATGTATTACCTTATGGTAATACATAATGTATAAACCACAAATTTACCTGAAGTTATATCCCTCCTTCTCTCTGCCAAGTTCTTTCTATCTGTATCAGAATTATTTCTGAATTTTCAGTAATTTGGTCCTTCAACAACAATCTGCTTTTTTCCATTGTACTATCATGTTATTTATGTTCTTCTTCCTTCCCATCTCATTCCTAAATATCTCGTTCTTTTCTCTCTCAGCTCAAGTTACTCTCATCCGTACTAAGCAAGGAATTCTTTGCTTTTCTGAACTGTTCACATTACAAGATAATCCTCCTTTCTACATCCAAGAAGAAAAAAGTTGTTTATGTACCCTATTTCCTCTCCTCCTGCTCATTTCTTCCTTGACTACTGTTTGTCTTCTATTGCTACTTCTTCATAAAACTATTCTTAAAAATTTTAGTTACCAAATCCACCAGACGCCTCTCAGCCCACCTCTTATTTCATTAATTTGTAGCCCTTGAGAGTGTTCAACATTTTGCCCTTCTACAGCCTCCTTCATATTTTTCCATAAGAACTATCTCCTGGCTAACTTTTTGTCCCTCTGGCTACCATCCTACAATTTTCTTTGTGAGTTTATTTTCTTTTAACTTCCCCTTTTAGCGATGATGTATCTTTGCCTTTGTGTTCTCCTCTTGGGTTTCTTTTCTTTCCTCACTCTACAGTTCCTGAATGGTTTCATACATTCCCACAGCTTCACATGTTATTTTAATGTTGGTAACTTCCATCCTGAAATCTGCAGCCAAGGCCTGCCTGTCTTCTTTTTCTTCTTCTCTGTCCTCCTTCTCCTCCTCTTCTTTTTCCTCCTCCTCTTCCTCCTCCTCTTCTTCATCCTCTTTTTCCTCTCTCTCTCCCCCCCGTCCTAACTTCTGTAACTTTTCCAAACATGATCTTTCTAATACAAAAATATGATCATATCGCTCTGACTCAATGTTCAAACTGCTTAAGAATTAGAAAAGAGTGTTAGATGCTAGTTGCGAAACTAATCCTCTCCATTTGAAGAGTGTGTTCTGGAAACGCCTTATCACTTTGACTATAAAAGGGGCTCACTGGGTACATCTATGCTTTAGGAAAATTTTTTCTTTTAATTTTTTCACAGATTTTATTTTTCCTTCTTTGGAATTTTGGGGATATAAAGACAAGAGTGTGAAATTTGTATAATAAAAAAGTGACTTGATATCTGTCTTTCTCTCTGAAAGGTATATTTCAACACTTACATGGACTTCTCTTATTCTTCTGGCCATTATTCAAATCTAGTAGGTTTTTGTTTTTTTCTAATGTTTGATTTTGGTAAAATGTACATAGTAGATTCATCATTGTAGCCATTTTAAAGTATATAACTTAGTGACATTTAGTATAGTTAGTGTTGTGTAACTATTACCACCACCAAAAATTTTTCATCATCTCAAATGGAAACTCTATAACTACTGAAATATTTATGGATGAACTATATGATATGTTATGTTAATTTCAGGATAATATAGGAAAATGGATGTGGGTGATTGAGCCTATGTTTATAATTGCTTTAGTTGGTAAAGAGGACTTAGGAATTTTTGGTAGTATTACTCCAGTCTTCTATATGTTTAAAGTACTTTTATAATAAATATACTGACTAAAAAGAAAAATAATCTAATTGCAAATGCTACTGAAATATTTAAGAGAACTGGATGTTGTTTAATTTAATAGATTTATGAGTTATGGGAGGGTTTTATTTAATGAGATCATTAAATCTGTCCATTCTGATGTTTGAAATACTGAAATACTGAAGATGAAACTCAAAATATTACACTTATACATACAATGTAGAACATCTAAGAGAATTTAATCAGCTAAATTTATCAACAGAACTATTGATTTGAAAAATTTGGTTGGGGCTATTTGAGTTGTCTAATTGTTCATCAAAGATCCTCCTGAAAATAGGATTTATTTATTATTTAAATAAAATAACAAATTATTTAAATAAAAATTACTAGATGTATAAATAGAATAACAAGTATATGATGTAAATATAAGTGAGGGCTTTGCATTATTAACCTTAATGCTAGTCAAAAGATATAAATACTTAGATATCATGATATATTGGTATCTTACCAAGTAAAATTTATAACCCTCTTCATAGCATACAAATTTTGTCCTTTACAGCTCTATTTCTCTCATTGCTCCTTCTTATGTCATCTTCTCACCTATTAATGTTGAGTTCACATGCTCTTCTAGTTTCCTCTTTCTCCATGCTGAATCCATATTTCTCTGGAATAGTGTTCCCCTTTCATCATCCTCTCTGTGGCCCACTGTTCTGTAAGCCTCTCCTACACACTCCTTCTCTGGGAAGGCATCCCTGGCTGCTCAAAGCTCATTTATTGCTGCCTCTGTATGTCATCCATCAATCTTTTTCAGTGATTATCCTGCCCTTCTTCATAATTGTACAGAAGAAATGGCTTCAGGCCTATCTTCTTACCACTAGACCATAAACCACTTCAGCAAAGGGATTGCCACTTTGTTAGGTAACTTCCTATTTTGATGGTCATTTTTAGAGAGCTTTTAGAATAATTCCTGTCATGATAGGTCTTTGACTTCTTAATGAACGAATTGTGTAATATCAAGAGGCTAAACTTTTATTATTAAAGAGAATTATCATTCGTTAAAAAGAATGTTAAATAAAAAATAACAGACCTATAGTTTACTTCATAAAACACCTGGATAAATGACAAATATTTGTAAAATGAAAGATATTCGCATAGCACATCAATGCATGTGTAGTTGCCTATTTATGCAAAGCATTTATTATCCACAGACCATGTTTGCTTACATACATTTATTCATAGACTTAGCATAATAGCATATAAATCTTGGTGTATTTTATTTAGGTCTGAATTTAAAATATATAAGATTAAATGTGAAATAGGAGTCACAATAGCAATGACAATAAAAGGGAAAAAGACAATGAGAAGGAATAGATGCAAATGTCCTGAATAAACACAGAAAAAATTAACACCAACTGTTCAAAGTTTTCCAGGCTTTGAGAAAAGCACCACAGATAGGAGAAAAACAATGGCACTAGTCACAAGCAAAGACATAGAAACTGAGTAGGAGCAGGGGTGAAGGAGCAGAAAAGGAAGCTTCTCAGATGTGATAATAAGTCTGTTCAAGAAGACCTTTCATCCTAGTTCTTTGTTTTTAATGCTATAGCACAGAATTAAATAGGGAAAGTGAAATTACAGTAATTTGATATTAAGACTGTCCCTTTTAGAAAGCTATTAGGGTGCCATTTCCTGATGGTTAAAGAGGTAATGACATTGATCTTTATGCCTTATTTGCTGCTCATGAGTTTAGCTTTTAATTACCAGAGTTCTTATTTTTTTTAAAGAAAGAAAGAAGAAATCTAAGTGATACATACTTTCCTATACTTCCCCTTATCAAAAAAGAAATGTAGTGGCTTGTTTTTTCTTCTGGAGCATACAGCACCTTCCTATACTTAACCCATAAGGAATTTTAAAAAATACGTTGCTTAAACCAAAGATTTTAAATGCAGTTAGGTAAGATGAACTGGCCATGGACAACTGATAAAGCATGTCTCTAGTTCTGGAAGATTTTAAGCATTTCTAATTAATTTAAAAGTTATATTGGTAAATTCTTACCAAAACAACCCATTAAACTATGAATACCTTCAGGAGAAGAACTATTTACTCTTTCCTTTGCTAATCTTAGTCACTTCCCATTATTATTTATCCTTATCTCACTTTTCCTGTCTCATTACTATTAATAACCATGTAATTTGCTTTATGTACCCAAACAATCAATGTCTATTTTCATCAGAAGAATTACTCTTAGAATTATAATTTATTCTAAAAAATGGAACCAAGAAATGTGTTGTTACACTTAAAGATGTCAATATGAACATTAATAATGATAAACATAGTCTTTTGACCCATTTCAGTGCTTCAAATGCCTGGCTAAAAGAGCAGAAAATGTAATAAACTGTATTCTGACCACTAGGTGGGGAAACAATACAATTTATTTATTTATTTATTTATTTATTTATTTATTGGTACCAGGGATTGAACTTGGGACCTTGCACTTGCAAAGCAGGCAGCAGAACCACTGAGCTAAATCCTGGGCCCAACAATACAATTTAAAATACCTATAATTTTGGCCTTGACTACTGAATTTTCAAAGTTACTTATGATTTCTCATTCTTACTTGCCTTCAATCTTTTATGCTTTCAAGACATTCTGACCTGCATGATATAATTACAAGTTACTTCTGGGAACAGCTTTAGAAGTAGGCAGAACAGGCTGCAGGTGATAAGGGCCACCTCTCTCTGAAACTCCTCCTTCGATCTCTGAGATTCCACTGTACACTTTAAGGAGGACCCAGCCTTACCAGTTATTAGCTTTTTGGGGAAGCGCATCCCTCCCTAGACTGAAATTGCCCCAATCCTTGGTTCCAGGAATTTCTTGTTTTCCACAATTATCATTTTTTCTTGTTACTGGATCTTTCACATCAAAATACACACTGTTATTTCCATCTTTAAAAAAAAATTATCTTAATCCCATTTTCCCACCCTTTCTTTGCTTTTCTTTTTTCCTTAAAAAGAGTTGTTTTTTTCTAGCTCTCTCCAATTTCTCTCCTTCTGTCTTCTGTTAAAGGCTTGCATCCCATTCCTTCTGAGAGCATCACTCCCCTGACCTCCTCCATCCCATTTGGTTGGCCTTGGGCGGCATCTGACCCACTTGCACACGGGCTCCTCCTCAGTGTTTCCTTGCTTGGCTCCCAGGGCACTTAATTTACTGGGTTTTCCTTTTTTTTTTTTTTTTTTCTCCTTTGCTCGTTCTCCTTCCAGGTCTCCTATAGCTGGAATGGCCCAAGTCTTGCTTTTTGCCTTTTTGGTATATATTCTTTCCTCCATCATCTTAACATTCTCATGATTTTAACTTTGGAGATGTTCTTTTGCCTTTCAAATCGGTATTTTTAACACAAAAGTCTCACTGAAACTCTTCCTTTTTTACCCAACTGTGTCCTCAACTTTCCATTTGGATTTTAAGAGATATCTCAAACTTAACATGTTCACGGCCTCCTGTCTTCCTCAGAGCCAAACTTGCTTATCTGTAGTTTTCCCATTTCAGCTGAAGGAAGAATCATCCTTACAGTTGCTCTGACCAAAAAACTTGGAGTCACTCTTGATTTTTTTTTTTTTTTTTTTGCAAACCCAAATCCAGATTCTGTTGTCTCTACCTTCAAAATATATCCAGAGCCTGAACATTTCTCATCATCTTGCTACCATTCTGGCTAGAGCCAACTCCATATCTTGTCTGCAGTTCTGCTATATCTGTCTAACTGAGTGCCTTGCTTTGACATTTGCCCACCTACTGTCTATTCTCAGCATACCTGTGAAGGTGATCTTTGCGGAATATAAGTGAGAAAACTGCTCTGCTCAAGCTCCTCAGAGCTTTCTCTCCACTTAGGATAAAAGCCACAATCTCTATCAGGACTCACAAGTCCCTACCTGAGCTGGTTCCCACCTACTGCTTCCCTTGATCTCTCTACTCCAGTTCTGCTACTTCCTCCATGTCCTTGAACATTTCAAGCCTTTGTTCGATCTGCTCTTTCTGCCTTTAACAGTCTTCCTCTGCATAGCTTCATGTCTAACTAATTCCCTTACTTCCTTTGTGTTTTTGCTCAAGCAAGCTGCCCCATCTCTGTTTAAATTCACAGTGTTCTATCCTTAGTATCTCTCACACTTTCCCTGCTCTGTTTTCTCCACAGCATTTGATGCTTCCTAACTTCTACAGTATCTTTTTCCTGTTTCTCATTTTGATTCCTTTGTGTCTTCCTTCAAAAAGGCAGGGATCTTTGTTTTGTCCACTGGTATTCCTTGAACTACAATTACAAAGACAGAAAGGAGTGACTAAAAACTGTTAAATGAATGTGAAAAACTTATTGATTTTGCCTGGAGAGTGATCTTTAGAGAAGGGAGGAGCATTTGGCTGGCAAAGGAAGCACATGGAAAACATCCATGTAGACTTTTTATAGGGTAATGGTAAGCAAAACTCAGAATCACATCTATATTCAACATTTCTGCCTAAAGACCAACCCACGAATGTCCCCTTTATGAGAAATACGAGCTTTCAACCCAAATATCTAGACTAAGTTTGCTTTCAAGATCCACTTTGCTTTCATTTCCTCTATGCCTTTAGCTAGCTTCTCCTTCCTGGGGAAAATTTTCTAATCTATCTATTTCCTCATTGTGGAATTTACTTGAGCTTACTCTTAGGAGCTTGACATTTTTTGAGACTTTCTATTTTGAAAAGAAAATAGATTTCACTCCTTCTCTTTTCTCCACCTGATAACTAACTTTCAAATACTCCAGCTGTGGATTATCTAGGCAATATAATATCCAAGACTCTTACTTTTCTCCATTTTTCTTGGGTGCATTTTGGGAAGTTGGCAATTCTTAGATGAATCACATTCTAATAGGAGTCCTTAAGAAGATGGAAACAGGAATGGGGGAAAGTTTATTGTTATTATTGGTGGATTTTGCTAATCTTTGATGAGAACAAAAATAAAAGAATTTGAGCCTGGTTGATTGCCAGGCTACCTCTTCCTCCTCCTCCTCCACCTCCTCCTCCACCTCCTCCTCCTTCTCCTCCTCCTTCTTCTCCTCCTCCTCCTCCTTCTCCTTCTTGGTGCTAGGAGTTGAACCCGAGGTCTTGCACATGCTAGGCAAGCAGTCTACCACTGAGCTGCATCGCCAACCCTTTGTACTTCTTATTCTGAGGCAATGTCTTGCTAAGTTGCCCAGGCTGGCCTCAAACTTGTGATTCTCCTGCCTCAGCCTCATGTAGCTGGAATCCTAGGTATACTCTACCATGCCTCACCTCAGCAGGCCCATTGCAACTTTGCCTTCTTTGTAAGAATTCCTTGCAGAGCAGGGAAATTGATCAGAATTATATGAAGTAGTAGCCCATGGTATAGGAATGTTTTTGAAATCTTTTCTTCCTTTTGTAGCTTGTTTCCTTACCTTATCATGATGGATTCTATGGAGAAAAGTATCAATGTAACAAGCCTGGATTTGTTATTTTTCAGAAGAATCTGCTACCAAGGTTGGAATATGGTGTGTAAGAACTCAGCTTCTATAGATTTTTGTGCACTGATCTGAGGAGTTGTCGCACTGATAAATACTTTGCTGTGCCCAGAGTGCATGAACAATGTGACTAATGGCAAGCACCTGCTTTCCTTCCAGGAAGGGAAGCTGGCAGTTGCCAGGCAGAAGGTTCTAGGTGATCAGAATCCAGGAGGAACCTTGGGCACTGCCTCTAGTTGGCTTCCCTGGGAAGAAGTCATACATTGATTTGCATCTTTAGAGAAATCAGCACTCACAGTGTACATTTCTCAGGCTTGCAGGAAGAGAACATCAGAAGCCCATGCTTGGATACCTCCAGCTGCTGCCTGTACCTTCTGTTATTTCCTGTAATGAAGCTTAGCCATCAGTGATATTGTACTCTGTCCTGTGTGTCCTTTAAGTGAATCACCAAATAAGGTGGTCTGGGAAACTCCTGAAACAATATGAATTGTGCCAAGTACTCTTTCTCTCTACAATTTACTTAGTCAACTAATTATTTTTCAGGATTAATATTAAAGTTATTTACTAGAATTTCTCACACAATTACACTGTATACAGAAGTCTCACTAAAGCCAGTAACCAGGGTAAAATCCTATAATAAAATTTAGAACTACTAAAATCATAATCTAACTGGTTAGATTTACCAAAGTACGAAATAAATTAGAAAAGAGTAACATGGCTTTATGCACATGAGAGGAAAATAATTTATACAGAGATCGGGTATATATAAAATATATTAATTTGTTATTTTAATTAAATTAATATTTATTTAGTCTTTACATGTTAGGAAGCCAATGCTTTACACTCTTATTTGGTGTTGGGATATTATGAGGGACAAGTCTTTAAATTAACATTCATAAACACAAATACCTGGACAGGTGGAAAGTTAATACAAATATGCGAAGCAGGCCATATATAACATAATAACCCATGAGCTCTCTGACACTACTAGTTACTGACTTTAAAACCTCCAAGGAAGCATTATAAAGTGAAAAATAGGAGTGGCTACCCATGACAAATGTGTTTTCAAACGCTTCTCTAAATTGTAATGATAAGTATTTAAGGAAAGCTGTCAATCCAATATTCAGCTTCTCTTACCTGTATTATGGATTGTAAGTTCTTTTTCTGTAAGCAGTATCAGTCTGGCAGAGGAACCAAAGTGAAGGAAAACTAAATTGTACTGTGTTAGGATATTACTTATTTGTGGTAAAGGAGAATCATGTAAAGCAATTTTTTTTAGAAGAGGAAAGGGAAAATCTAGCATGTCTTGCCATAACAGTCTATGCCTGCCATTGTGTGAATATTTCTTCTTTTTAAAACAATATTTCATTCTTTTTCAATCTTCTACTTGCTTTCTCCTGAACCAGCTGTTTTGGTAAATCACAGATAAAGAGTCCATGCATAACAACCCATAGAATTCTGAGATTTCTAAAAAAACATACAAACAAAAAAAAGCATCCCATCTAAGAAAATTAGGCAAGAAAAGTTCTTGGCCTCCTGAAGTTCCATTTCCTCATCTGTGGACAATAATAACATTACTAACTTGATAGAGATAGAGGTTTCATATGTAAAATACTTAACATGTCATACACAGTAAAATATGGCGCTGATGGTTGATGTAGATAATGGTGGTGATGATGGTGATTACAGTGGTTGTCATGGTGATAGAAGAGGAGATGGTGGTGTGCTGACCTCCAAAAACCTTCAGAACTTTTGAAAAGGTGGTGGAATTTTTCTTCAGGTGAACTCTTAAGGGGAAACTCAACATGAAACAGATAAATAATACATGCTCAGACTTAAAATGGTGTGAAAGCTGTCTGCTCAGTCACCCCTTCTCTCTATCAGTGCCCACAAACGTGTCCCATAGGTTACTGTAGAACCCTCAGCTCTCAGCCAAGGATAGTTTACAAATCTATGGCAAGACATTACCGAAGAAATGGCAAGATCATCTTTTGCTTACTTTGGGTCAAAGGGAGGTTTAATGTTTCTGGGAGGTAGGCTTGGAGCTGGAGGTTGTGATGGATGAGATGCTGGCAATGGAGGCTGGCTGGCTGACTGGGATGGTGGAGTTGGTGGTAGGGCAGTTGTGGAGTAAGATGTCTGGCTTTTGCTGGTACCTAAGAAGCAAAGTAAATAGTATCATGGATTAAGAAAAATCTTTAAAATATATGAACTGACCTTTCCAAGTGTGTAGAAATGAGAATCTTGAATATAAAAACACCAGAAATACATCTTAAGTTGAATGAATGCTTTAAAAAAATCTAATAGTTTAACCAACATGAGGCATGACATTTGAAATGCTCCATTTCATGATATAGATAAATTCTTAAAAGTTTAATTCTCATTATTAAAAAAAGAAACTTTCTCACCTTTTCTAAGCTATAAACCTTAGTTTTCATAGTCTAGATTTTGTGAACATGCCTATGCCAATTTTCTACCACATTCTTCATGATTGTACAAATACAGACTATTTTCATTGGACTTATTATTTTGGACCAAAGAAATTTAGTTTTTGTATCATCTTTTATAGGGAACAGACTTTTATTTGTCTTGACATTTTCCTTGAATCTTTAATGTTATATTTTGTTTGAGGTGTGACTTTAAAACATTGAAACATTAATTTTACAGGTAAATTATATACACTATAAAATTACAGACATTAACAAAATTAAATAAATATGTACCACCCATAATCTCTACCAGTAGCTGTTAAGTTGAATGGATTTTAGAACTTTTTAGTATAAATATATGCTTTCAGGGAAGAAAAGAAAAATAAAGTCATTTTTCCATTTCACTGCCAGCTTTTTAATGAGTATTTTTCCACATAAAAATAATTTTTAATAATTGTACAGTTTTTAAAAAATAGACACCAGGATGAAAAGCATCATATGTCTGCACATTTGTGGAAAACAAAAGATCAATCTTATACAAGAATGGAATAGAATATTGGTTACTAGAGACTGAGAATGGCAGAGGGGAGGGGCCTGGAAAGAAGTTAGGGGCAAAAATCACTGTTAGAGGAAGGGGCTTCCAGGCCACCGTCCATCCCGCTGCACCTGGCCCAGAAGTAGGGGCTTCTGAGCCACTGTCCCACTGCTCCTGGCCCAGAGGAAGGGGCTTCCCAGCCACCATCCTTTCTGCCACTCCCAGCCCAGAGGAAGGGGTTTCTGGGCCCCCATCCATCCCACCGCTCTGGGCCCAGAGGTAGGGGCTTCTGAGTCACCATCCCACCACTCCCAGCTTAGAGGAAGGTGCTTCCGGGCTGCTGTCTGTTCCACTGATCCCAGCCCAGAGTAAGGGGCTTCTGAGCTGCCATCCCACCACTCCTGGCCCAGAGGAAGGGGCTTGCAGGCCACTGTCCATCCCGCTGCTCCTCGACCAGAGGAAGGCGGTTCTGAGCCACTGTCCCACCTCTCCCAGCTCAGAGGAGGTGAGCCACATAGGCACCAACAGCAACCCAGCACCCCCCCACACCAGGTTGAAATGAAAAGACACGTAAATAAGTCTCAAAACCAGACTTCCAGATCACCTACAGCAACTCCAAAGGGAAATGAGATGGAACACTCTGATACTCAACCACCTGGACCCCCTGAACTGGCAGCAAAAAAGGATCTGGAAAAAATGAAATCAGAAATAATTTCTCACATAATAGCAGAGATTGTGCTCATAGTGCAAGATATGATTAATAAATCTAGAAAGGAGCTGAGGAAAATGATGGAATCCCAACATAGGAAACAAATAGAATCCATAAAACTGATGCAAATAGATTTCCAGGACATGAAAAACTCCTCTGAAAGTCTACACAGCAGAATGAGCCAATGTGAGGACAGAATTTCAGATATGGAGGATAAGATTCCAATTAGTGATCAGGAAAAGAAAAATTGCTATGAAATTGTAAGGAACACAATAAATCAATCCAGTAGCTGCTAGATGATGCAAAGAAGAATAACATAAGACACATTGGAGTCAAAGAAGAAACAGGAGAGAGTGCAGATGACATAAAAAACTGTTCACAAAAATAATAGAAGAAAACTTCCTAAGCAGGGCAAAAGAACTTGACATACAGATAAGTGAGGCATATAGGACTCCAAATAGCCTTAAACAACAACAAAAAAATCTACACAAAGGCATATAATTGTTAAGATTCCAGAAACACAACAGAAGAACAAAGTTCTACAAGCAGTTAGAGAAAAGAAACAAAACACATACAAAGGAAAGCCCATCAGAATCACAGCAGACTTCTCAACACAAACCATCAAGGCAAGAAGAGCTTGGAGTGACATATTCCAAGTCCTAAAAGAAAACAGCCTCCAACCCACATTGATGTACCCTGCAAAACTATCTTTCAAAATGGGTGGAGAAATAAGATACTTTCATGACAAAGAGCACCTTGGGAACTTCATGAATACCAAACCAGCACTCCCCAAAATTTTAGACTATATCCTAGGAACTGACAATGAGAATCATAACCCCAGGAAGCACAGCAGAATGAACCCATCTGGCATGACAAGAAATTAAA